AAAGCAACTAACCCTCTTACCTACAGAGTACACATGAAAAGCTAAAACCACAGCGGGGAGAAGGGTTAATGGAAAACACCCTCTGTTCCTAGGGTCAGAGCAGGGAATACTCTCACAAATAAGATTCCCCCCAACACTGCAGAGTTTAGCTGCTATGGAGAGAAGGACAGGTTTACTGAGAAAAAAATCCACTCCTAAATTCCAGGGCCAGCCCAAGACCGCAGCAGGACAGGACAGAAGAGAAAACTCCCTAACCCTCTGATCAGACAGGCAAGTAGTGAGTAAAAAAAGTAGCATTCTGCCTCTGGGGGAAGAGTCTAGAATGTGGAGAGAGACCACCTCTGAACTGCCAAGTCCACAGGAAGGCTCAAGGGTTGAGGGTGGAATAAGAATTTTGAAAAAAGGGATACCTGAGTGGCTGGCTCAGTGGCTGAGTGTCTGCCTCTGACTTAGGTCATCATCCCGGGGTCCTGGGATCGAGTCCCACATCGGGCTTCCAGTAGGGAACCTGCTTCTCCCTCTGCCTATGTCTCTGCCTCTCTGTCTCTCGTGAATGAATAAAATCTTAAAAAAAAAAAAAAGAATATCGTAAAAAGCAATGGTTTTATGTATGTCTGGTAAATCCAGGTTGTTAATTATGTTTTTAAAACCTCCTATATCCTTACTATTTTTGTCTGGTTGATTTAGAGTGTTTAGAGACGTTCGGTTGAAATCTCCTGCAATAGTAGTGGGTTTGACATCTTTTTCTTGAATTTCCACCAGTTTTGGAATTCCAAGTTTTGATGTAATTTTAATAGGGTTGTTTTATAATTTGATGCAATGAAAAAGTTATAATACTTCAAGGTCCCTTGTGTTATGATCCTCACCCTTGAAATCCATGAGTAGAGACAAGTGTCCTTTTTAACCATTTTAATATCCCTAAATTGCTTTCAAACATGATCACTAGGAAGACTAACCAATATGAGTACTAAGAGTGGCGTGTCTATATATTTTAAGCCAGCAGAAAGGTCAGGATGAACTCTAAAGTAATGAGTGGTCCATTAGTTTTCTTTTGTCATTATAACTAATTACCACACACTTAGTGGCTTAAAACAACACAATTTTTTTTTTTTATAATTCTGGAGATGAGGGATCTGAAATGAGTCTCACTGGGCTATCATCAAGGCTTCAGCAGGGCTGCGTTTCTTTCTGGAAGCTCTGGGCGAGAATCCATTTTCTTCCCCCTTTGCAGCTTCTAGAGGCTGGCTGCATTCTTGGGGTCATGACCCAACCCTCCAGCCTCCATTTCCAAGCCAGCAACATCAACCCCAGTCTCTCTCACACTGCCACCTCTCTGGCTCTCCTTCTGCTCACCTCTTCCACTAATAATGACTCTTGTCATTGGCCCATGTGGATAATACAGTTTAATCGCCCCATGTCAAGGCTAGCTGATAACCTTCCCTCCACCTGCAACCTTAATTTCCCTTTGCCGTGTAATCTAACATATTCATAGATCCTGGAATTAGGTTATGGCTATCTTTGGGAGGCCATTATTCTACCTATCATGAGCGGTAACTGGAAGGAGCTGAAAAAATGGACATCATACTTAGATTGAACTAATGAGACATAGAATAAGTTAAGGTTAGAGAAGGTACATAAAATACAGCAATCTGCCTAAGTATGGCACTGTTTTCAATAATAGTTACCTATTATTTAATTAGTATTTATTTACATGTTATTAAAATATATTTATTTTGGAAAAAAAGTCAATATTTGGTGTATTTTCAAATAATACCGTAAGCAATGTCCTCATGTACCTGGAGGGACTTTCACAAGAGCATTATGTGGTACTGAGGATATATTACCCAACAGGTAATATATTTTATTTCTTTCTCTTTAGTAATCTGTATAATCAACCAGGTGCTCAAACTAACGACCCCCTGAGATCAAGAGTTGCGTGCTCTTTCAACTGAGCCAGCCAGGCAGCCCTTTTTTTTTTTTAATTTTTTATTTATTTATGATAGTCACAGAGAGAGAGAGAGGCAGAGACACAGGCAGAGGGAGAAGCAGGCTCCATGCACCGGGAGCCCGATGTGGGATTCGATCCCGGGTCTCCAGGATCGTGCCCTGGGCCAAAGGCAGGCGCCAAACCGCTGCGCCACTCAGGGATCCCAGGCAGCCCTTTTTTAAAAAAATAGTTTAATTTTATTATTTATTTATTCATGAGAGACACAGAGAGAGAGGCAGACACAACCGGGCTCACTGTGGGGAGCTTGTGCAGGACTTGATCTCAGGACTCCGGGATCATGACCTGAGCCAAAGGCAGATGCTCAACCACTGAGCCACCCAGGTGCCCCTTTTATTATCCAATTTCTAATGACCATGTTGGTCCCTTACATTCAAACTTCAACAGTAAATGGCCCAAGGACCTAAGGGTAGTTTCATTTCAGAATAAACTGCCTGGATATTAACCCAATTTTATTTATTTATATGCTTGTTTATTTTATGGACAACCAGTTCTATTTTCTTTTGAGCTCAGGGTAGTCTCCAAAGTGGCTACAACTACTATAATCAGACTATTGAGTAAAAATGGGATGCTAAATTTCGAGGCACAGAAAACATTTTTGCAACTAAAACTAGGACATTTGGGGCTTTTTTTGGTGTTTTACTTTAGATTTTTTCCTTAATAGTTCATTTCATAAAGCAAATGTGATTAAACATTACTGTGTACTAGAACTAATTGCTGGTTATTTGGAATAAGTCACTAATTCAATAATTATGTATTTTTTTGAGAGACAGCACATATGAGGTGAAGGGGGAGAATTTTATTTTATATTATTTTATTATTTTATTTTAGAGTCAGAGTATGAGCCTGGGGAGGAGCAGAGGGAGAGGGACAAGCAGACTCCTGGTTGAGTGGGGAGCCCAGCCAGCAAAGGGCTCCATCCCAAGACCCCAAGATCATGACCTGAGCCGAAGGCAGATGTTTAACCAATGGAGCCACCCAAGAGCCCCTCAACAATTGAGTATCTACTCTGCACTAGGAACTTTTTTAGGTTATTTAAGCTCCTCAGAGACCTTACATTTTAATTTTAGTGTAAGAGACAATTAAAAAGTAAAACATATTTAATAAGTACAGTGAATAAAAATAAAGAAAAAAAGGGGGGAGTGTGGGACAGCAGAGACTTAAGGGGTCAAAGCAGGCCCCTTTAGTAAGGTAACAGTTGAGCATAGATGTGAGTTGAGAAGTGAGCCATATGAATAAGGTTGAGCAAATGGTCTCGGAGGAACAGCAAGCTCAGAATCACAAGAAGCTGGAACATGCCTAGCCTGTTCCAGAGAAAGCAGATACCAATATGGGTGAAGGAGAATGAGCAGATGAGGTGAGCAAAGAGGTGAGGTGGGGAGCGGAGCATGTTCTACAGGGTCGTGTACTCGTTGGGGAATCTGGTGGAATGGGAAATAAGAAGGATCAGAGTAGCGGGATGACAATTTACATAAAACTAATTATTGCTATACCAAAATATTGTTTTCCATCTACATTTGGGTTTATCTCTAGTTTATTTGATGGCATGGCTAAGTTCCACAATCATTACTTGAGATTTTCTTCCTTCCAGATTACTTTTTCAACAATTTATTTTTATTTTTAAAAAAGATTTTATTTATTTATTCACGAGAGACACGCAGAGAGAGGCAGAGACACAGGCAGAGGGAGAAGCAGGCTCCCTGCAGGGTGGCCCGACGTGGGACTCGATCCCGGGACCCGGGGTCTCGCCCTGGGCTGAAGGCACACGCTCAACCACTGAGCCACCCAGGCGTCCCTAAACTAATCCTGGGATGCCAGTACATCACCATGTACATTAGACTTTCACAATGGTATTGAAACTCCGTATTTCAGGACTAAAACATCTTTGTTTGATAAACAAAACATTTAGTCAAAAACCAAAGGATAAGTAACTGAAGATCCTTTAGACCACGATTCGGACCATCATATGCACAATTAATTCTATGTACCAGACACTAAGTATATGACCTTTTACTCCTAGCAATACCCCAGGATTATCCTTACTTTACGATAAGGAAGTTGAGGTTCAAAATGAATGGTTCAACGTCTTCACGGAGGTCTCTCTGCTCTTTAGGACCCCAAGTTCTTTCTCTTTTCACACACATTTCTCTTTACTACTGTATCTTTTTTACAGAATCTTCCAGGGTCTGGTTTTTTTTTAAGATTTTATTTATTTATTCATGAGAGAGAGAGAGAGAGAGAGAGAGAGAGAGGCAGAGACACAGGCAGAGGGAGAAGCAGGCTCCACGCAGGGAGCCCGACGCGGGACTCGATCCCGTCTCCAGGATCACGTCCGGGCTGCAGGCGGCGCTCAACCGCTGAGCCACCCAGACATCCCCTACTTCTGTATCTGTTTCACAGAATCTTCCAGGGCCTGGTTTCTTTCTAGCAGGTGTTCCTCGAATAAATCCACGGAAGGCCTTGCGCTAAGGGCAGCATTACTGTCATCCCCGGCGCCTGGCCAACACCTTCCCCTTGGAACTTCATCCCTTTGGAGGGAGGGGCATTTCGGGACGTGGTTCAGGCTTGCGCGGAGACCAGGGATTCAGCTCTTCCTCGGCACCGGGGAGCCCTGACTGCCACACCCTGGTCGCGGCCATCCAGACCACGGGTTTTCTCAGCCGGCCTTGCAGGCCCCGTAGGGGAGGGCCTCGGCCGCTCGCCGGCCTCCTCTTCCTCGGCGGTGCTCCACGATGAAAGCTCCTGGGACCCCAAGTTTCCGCAGGCAAGAAAATCAAACCCAGGGGCTCCGGCCAGCCGTTCTTCGGTCGGCGACAGCACCCCCGCCTGGTCTCCCGGCCTTCGGGCGGCGAAAAGCGGCACCCGAGGCACCCGGTCACCGACAGCCCGCCTCCTCGGCCCCCGGGGGGAGAGGGCGGGGCGACGCCGCGCGTGCGCGCTGCCGTCACGCCGACGCACGGGCACGCCGGCCCCGCCCACAGCCTCGTAAGTCTGGTTTCCGGCGGGAGCGCGGATCGAGGGGCGACGCGGTCCTGCGGTGGCGCCGTCCCGTACCCGCCGGGATGCCTCACTTGGAAAACATGGTGCTTTGTCGCGAGCCTCAGGTGGCCACCCTGCAGGCCCTGTTTGGAGAGGTACGTGGCCGGGCTGGTTTTCTCTTCCAAATCCTGCGACGCGCTCCTCTGAATTTTCCGTCTCCGTGTCGGTGTCATGAGGGGGCGGTACTCGGTCGGTCGGTCGGTTGGTGGTTTTGCCTCGAGAAAGGGGTTGTTGTAGGTCGGCCACACTCCCGCACCCAGAGTAACTTCTGATGAAGCCCTTTTGAAAAAAAAAAAAAAAAAAACGACCCGGTGCAGCAGGGGCGGCCGGCCCCTCAGGACGGTGGCCCGGGCGGGCTGCGTTCCCACACGCTACGCTGCTGAGGTGATGTTAGCGCAGCGTCGCCGCTGCCAGGTGCTCCGAACAGGTGCGTTCGCAGGGTCGTCGTTCTCTTCACGCGTCCGCTCGCACGTTTCGTTGAGGGACTAGGTGATGAGGTGGTGGTTTTGAGGCCTCGGGGGGCGGGGGCAGAGCAGGTTTCAGGTTAACGACTAAAACGGCTTTTCCAGAATGGCAGAAGCTTTGCAGAGATCTTGTCTAGAACTCTCTCTCTCTCTCTCTCTCTTTTAAAAGATTTTATTTATCTCTTCATAGGAGACACAGAGAGAGGCAGAGACACGGGCAGAGGGAGAAGCGGGCTCCATCCCAGGACCCCGGATCACGACCCGAGCTGAGGGCTGAGGGCGGACGCTGAGCCAGTGAGCCCCCCCCCCCCGGGCGCCCCCTCGACTAGAATCCTTGACCAGCAGTTCAGGTGGAGCCCGGGAGAAGAGATGAAGTGTGTTTGAATGAGCACAGCTTAGGGAGTCCTTTCCTTAGGAGGTAGCATTCACCAATTCAAAACTTCCATCTCGGGGCAGCCCCGGTGGCTCAGCGGTTTAGCGCCACCTACAGCTCGGGGTGTGATCCTGGAGACCCGGGATCGAGTCGCACATCGGGCTCCCTGCATGGAGCCTGCTTCTCCCTCTGCCTGTGTCTCTGCCTCTCTCTCTCCTCTCTGTGTATTCTCATGAATAAATAAATAAAATCTTTTTTTTAATTAATTAATTAATTTATTTATTTATGATAGTCACACAGAGAGAGAGAGGCAGAGACAAAGGCAGAGAGAGAAGCAGGCTCCATGCACCGGGAGCCCGATGTGGGATTCGATCCCGGGTCTCCAGGATCGCGACCTGAGCCAAAGGCAGGCGCTAAACCGCTGCGCCACCCAGGGATCCCAAATAAAATCTTTAAAAAAAAATTAAAAATAAACCTGCCACCTACCAATGTGGAGTGGCTTGCCTTTCTAAAAAAAAAAACAAAACCAACTTCCATCTCCTTTTGATTATATTCTGGTGGCCTTTGAGGAGTCTTGCTTCAGCCTCATTCCTTAGACATGGAGTTATTAAGTTCGTCAGACTTGGGTTTTATGTGTGAGGGGAATAATTGATGGTTTAGGCTCATACTCCCCCCTCCTCTCCACCCATCTTTTGGTTTGCTTTCTCAACTACTTATGGCACTTGAATCCAGCAAAAAATGTTGGATGGGAGTCTGAGTCTGTGAAGTAGTGAAAGAAAAAGTACCACCCTTCTTCCAAAAGCTCACAATGCTTAGGGAAGTAAAAGGATAAGGACTGCATCTCTAGTGTTGTAGTTTTAATGCTTCCAGATAAAGCCATCCATACCATCGCAGAAATATTTTCTTGGTTACAGTCTGTGCATTCCTTCCTTGAAGATGATAAAACTAGGTAACTCTGAGAGCCGTCCTCCAGGAAAAGCATATTGTCAAATAGAGATGACTAGTATTGGTTTAGTGTTGATAACATAAAGGGTCCCGACCTTTGCTTTTACAGCAGATCACGTTTAACAATCATTATCATCGCTTTTCATCAAGGTTTGGAGCATGTTGGATGCAAAAACTTTAAAAAAAAACAAGCAAAAAAACCCGGTTCTTATTTCTAAGCAGATTCATTTATTTGCTCGACAGATATTTACTGAGCATCTTCTCTGTGTTAGGCACCTTCCAGATACTGGCTAATTAGTTTGTTGAGATTTAGGAGGGTGAAAGATTGAGTAACAGGCAAGAGTTCAATACAATTCTAGGTAATGTTGTAAGATGGAATATCACTAAGCAACAAACAGTGGATGCAGACTAATGTGGCAGGATTTCAGAAAAGGAGTGTTTAGTGTAGCTTGGAAAAACTTCCTACAGTATGTCTTGACCTTCTCTTTAAAGGTGAACTATAGTATTTGGATAACAGATGCTCAACAAGCATACATTTAATTCTTGGGATAGCATTTTTGAGCCAGTTGATTTACAGCATTGTTAGGTATTAACATAAAGGATTCATATACTTAAAGATCCATCTTAAGTCTCTTTTGGGACTGCTTTGGTACATGCTATTAGAAAATTTTCTCCTGTAGGGGATCCCTGGGTGGCTCAGCGGTTTGGCGCCTGCCTTTGGCCGGGGCATGATGCTGGAGTCCCGGGATCGAGTTCTGCGTCAGGCTCCCGGCATGGAGCCTGCTTCTCCCTTCTCCTGTGTCTCTGCCTCTCTCTCTCTCTCTCTCTATGTCTATCATAAATAAATAAATAGTGGAGGTTCCTCAAAGAATTAAAAATAGACCTGCCCTACGACCCAGCAATTGCACTGTTAGGGATTTACCCCAAAGATTCAGATGCAATGAAACGCCGGGACACCTGCACCCCGATGTTTCTAGCAGCCATGTCCACAATAGCCAAACTGTGGAAGGAGCCTCGGTGCCCATCGAAAGATGAATGGATAAAGAAGATGTGGTTTATGTATACAATGGAATATTACTCAGCCATTAGAAGCGACAAATAGCCACCATTTGCTTCAACGTGGATGGAACTGGAGGGTATTATGCTGAGTGAAGTAAGTCAATCGGAGAAGGACAAACAGTGTATGTTCTCATTCATTTGGGGAATATGAATAATAGTGAAGGGGAATATAAGGGAAGGGAGAAGAAATGTGTGGGAGATATCAGAAAGGGAGACAGAACATAAAGACTTCTAACTCTGGGAAATGAACTAGGGGTGGTGGAAGGGGAGGAGGGCGGGGGGTGGGGGTGAATGGGTGACGGGCACGGAGGGGGACACTTGACGGGATGAGCACTGGGTGTTATTCTGTATGTTGGTAAATTGAACACCAATAAAAATTAATTTATTTAAAAAAAAATAAATAAATCTTTAAAAAAAAAAAAAAAGAAAATTTTCTCCTGTATAAATCTTAGGCCCTAATTTGTCTTGCAAGAGGAAATGTGTAACTTAGTGGCTAGAATATAATAAATGTTTAATAAAAAATAATAGTAAATATAGAGTAAATATGTAAATAATAAAAATAAGTAAATGATTATTGTTGCAGTGGTAGATCATGCTGATACTCTGCTTTCTTGTGGGAATTGGATCATCCAGTTTTCTTTTAATTATTTTTTAAAGTGAGTGTATCCCACTACGCTATGAACTCTTTCAGAGTAGATTTTGTCTTTAACAGATATTTGTACTCTTCAATGCATCCTGGTTTTCAGCATTGATGAATGTGTAATAAATGAATGAAACATATTTGTAGTATTAATGAATTCAATAGAAGGGCATTTGACAATCTTTACTTTTCAGTAGACAACTGACTCTTAACACATAGCAAGAGTTTCTTGGGAATCAGTGTTTTGAAATATACATAGATTTTATCATTGTTTTATTTGATGGAATGTGTACATTCAGGCCAGGGTAAATATAGTATGCATAATTTAAAAATACTCTGTTAAGTATAAAGGACTCTTAAAATTCTTTCCAACTTTGTGATTACATATTCTTGGTTTCAGAGATTTATTTATTTTAAAGATTTTTATTGAGAGCGTGGAGAGAGCACAAGACAATAAGCACAAGTGGAAGAGGGTGATAGGAGAGGGAGAAGCAGACTCCTAGCTGAGCAGGGAAGCCGATGCGAGGCTCGATCCCGGGACCTTGGGATCATGACTTGACCTAAAGGCAGATGCTTAACCGACTAAGCCACCGTTTCGGTGCTTTAAAATGTATAAAAATGTATAGTGAAGTTGCAGCCTGTGAGGTTAGATTCTTTAAAGTGAGATTAGATTCTTAAAAATGGAGTATGATCAAAGTTATCCTTGAAAAATCTCTGAAATCTATAAATTTGAAAATACAGGAATTCGTACATATAGACCTACACAATAGTAACAAGTATAAATATGTATGTTGCATATATCGTATCATACATGTAGTGTATACTAAATATGCCAAAGAATAGTTTTTCAGAAATTTTAATTTCCTAACAGAGAAAGTGCTTAGAGTTCAATTCAGGTAAGTTCAAAGTGTAATCATGGATCCAGTATGGTCACTGTTGAAATAATTCGGATTGAATATTTTACTTTGCCACGTAAAACTTTCTCAAGAATTGATGATTTATTTTCTGTTTTGCATGTGCAGACTAATACTTATCTTTCTCTCTCAGAGGCATCATTTCAGCTTTCCATCAATTTTTATTTATGGACATACTGCCAGTGGAAAGACCTATGTAACACAAACTTTGTTGAAAACTTTAGAGGTAAGAGTAACCATTAATTGTGTTTTGTTTTGTTTTGTTTTACTCATAGACTCCTAGAAATGGAAGGAATCTGGGAGATTATTTAGAACAGTTTAGCTTTCTTTGAAGGAATATCTTCTACATGAAACATTTCTGACTAACTTTTGTTTTCGTTTGAGATCTTGTGACTCTAGTTCATCAGGGAATAGGGATAAAAAAGCCCAGCAAGTGTTAGTGAAACTGTGACTGAGAATATAAGGTAGCCTTAGTTACATTGTTGCTCTGAAAAGAGAAGGAAAAGCTTCCTTCTTGGGTGAGATTTATGGAATGTCACTAAAAATAATTACAGGTTCCATTACTTGTGTTCCATGCCAAAACTTATCTTCCTCAGATTGTGATTTTGTGATTTCATTTCGAGAACAGACTATATTTATAAGGAAGTCTTTGTTTCCTTGTTACTTCTGGAACTACATTTTGATCTCTAAGTGAAGAGCTAGCTTACTCCTCATAGGAGGATTACTATGGTTTCAAATTCTTTTTGATCTAGGTTAATTATTAGAATATTATCTTAAAATAATTAGTAGGAAATTCCTGCTAAGAATTTTAACATGAACTAAGATTTCTTTCTAAGAATTCTTTAAAGTATAAGTTTGCTCTGAATCTCTGTGGGAAACAAATGGCAAACTCAAATAATTGAAGTGAGTTTAATGAAGATACTGTTGTACAAAGGTTGAAGAAATGTTAAGGGAACCAGTGAGGGATGGTAAAGCACTGAGAGCTTTTACCTCCCCCAGACCTGAACAGACCATGGGAAGTAGCTGTTCCCAGATCAGTGTGAGAGCTAGAGCCTTAGATGAGGGGCTGCCTAGCTGAAACTGTGGCCTTTGGTACAATCATGTAGCCATGATAGAACTGAGGGCCAAAGGGTTAGTTAAGGGAATATCCATCTTGTTTCTTCTTATTGCTTTCCTTCAGGCTTCAGGTTCTTCTCTTTGGCTGAATCCAAGCAGAGCTAGAAAATAAGAGTCTAGGTGATGCAGTCTGTAGTGGTCAGCCTCCTGGGGTGCACAGAGTCAGTTGGGGGGTCGGGGTGGGGTATAAAGTAGAAGGACCAGTGGGCAATATCCAGCAGAGCCATTACTGTATATGTGGATTTTCTTTCCTGTTTACATGTTTTTTAAATTTTTGTTTTCAGCTCCCACATGTCTTTGTGAATTGTGTTGAATGCTTTACCTCGAGGCTACTTTTGGAACAAATTTTAAACAAATTGAATCATCTTTGTTCTTCAGAGGATGGATGTTCTACTCAAGTAACCTGTGAAACATTTAACGATTTTGTTCGCTTGTTTAAACAAGTAACCAAAGCTGAAAGTCTTAAGGATCAGACTGTATATATTGTGAGTAATATAATTTCATCACCACCTATTCGAAAACTGCCTATTAGGTCAATTTCTGTATATTTGTTTCAAGTCTCATTATATTACACTGTGCAAGGTGCTTTTGGGATACAAAAATGTTTTAGATATATTTCTTATCCAAAGGGAACTTCAGTTTAATGGAAGAGTTGTGTCACACTCTACATGTGACTGTGGAGTGTGATAAGTGATAACCATGAGATGCAAAGTACGGACTCAGGCATATGTGGCACAGCTTCATGAAGTGATAACTTTTGAAGACTTAAGAGGATGATTGAAGGATTATAGAAAGAAACTGAAGAAGGGGAATTTTGTATGGTACTGATTATGTAGGGAAAGGTATGCAGATCAGTGGAGGGCAGGAAATGCAGATAGTCCAGTTTTAGTTGGTAACAGTGTATGAAGCGAGAATAAAGCTAGGAACGTAGGTGAGGCAGGTCATGGGGTATCTTGAAAACTCTACTAAAGTGCTATATTTTATTTACTAGGCAGTGAGGAGGTAGTGAACATTTTAGAGCAACATGTGTTTTGGGAAGATTACTTTGTAAGGCATGTTAGGTAGATGGATTGAGGGGTGGCTGTGACAGACTGAAGTCTGAAAGAATGGTGGACCTGGACTAGACCTGGGTGGAAGATGCAGAAAAGAGTAAATGGAAGAGACCTTGAATGTCAAAATATTTAATTGTGTGTGGAATAGGTTTATGGGGAAAGATGAATCATTTGATTTTGGGGTGGCTACAGTCTGAATCGTAGTTGTTACATCAATATGAAAATGATTAACAGACAACTGAGAATGTGTAAGGTGTTTTATTTTAGTGGATTTTTAAATAATACTGTAGTCCTTGTAAAAAAGTGATTATCTTTGGAATTGGAATTAAATTTTAATATAATGCCTTATTATGGCAGCTAAGTTGTAACACTAAAAGGACCAAATCTTACACATTCTTGCATCTCCTGAAATGTATAAAACCGTTCCTTCCACATTTCAGTTTCATTCATTTATTTATCCAGCAAATAACTATTGAGCACCTTATAGATGCCGGGCACTATTTTAGATACTGGAGATAGAACAGGGAACAAAATTAGTCTCTGCCCTCCTGCAGTTTATAGTGTAGTTAAGGAAGGTAGATAAATAGCAAGTTAATATGTAGCATGTCAGACACAATATGTTAACAGTAAATTAATTGCGTAGGGGAGAATAGTTATTTTTCTAAAAAGAGAAGACAGAGAACTCACCGAGATGATAACTGCACTAAAACCTGAGGAACAAGGAAGTTAGGAGCAAGCCATGAAAATATGTGGAAAAGAGTATTCCAGGTAAAGAGACTTACATAAGACTGCAAAGGAGACTGGACTCTGCTTTGTGAATTCAAAGAATACCAAGGAAGCCATTGTGGCAGGAATAGTTAAGTGTGGGGGAGAAGTAATGTTGAGAATGAAATGAAGGGTACAAGAATAGAAGTATGCAGACTAGTGTTACAGGTTGAATTGTTTCGTCCAAGAATGCATATGTTGAAGCTCTAACCCCTAAAACCTCAGAATGACCTTATTTGGAAATGGAATCATTGCAGTTCTAATTATTAAGATGAAGTTGTACTTCATCTTAGAGTAGTTTGGACCCCTAATTTAATATGACTGATGTCCTTCTAAAAAGAGGAAATTTGGAGATTCACATGCACACAGGGAGGATGCCATGTAAAGGTTGGAGTTAAGCTGCTGCAAGCCAAGGGACTACTAGAAACCAGGAGGGAGACTTGGAACAGACCCTTCTCTACCATGTTTGGAGGAAACATGGCCCTACCAACACCTTGATCTTGGACTTCTAGCTTCTGGAACTGTGAGATAATAAATTTCTGTTGTTTAAGTCACCCTGTTTGTGGTACTTTGTTACGGCAGCTGTAGGAAACTAATACAACTAGTTCTGAGGAATTTATAACAATCTAGGCAAAACATCACATTGGCTTAGGCCAGGGTGGTAGCAGTAGATGTGCTAAGAAGTGGTCTCAATATATTTTGACAGAGTTTTCTGATAGAAGGGCTACAGAGGAGGAAAGAACAAAGTTAAGGGTGGCTCAGAAGTTTCTGTGCACTTAAAGGATATAGTTGTCATCATAGTGGAGAAAACTATAGCGGTTAGGGTCTTGTTGGGCAGGAAAAGAGTGATCAGGAGTTTGGTTTGGCATGTTAAATCAAAGTACAGATGTTCAGTTGGCACTTGGAGACTAGAGTCCTAGGTCAAGAGAGGCCCATCGTGGAGATAGGATTTGGGAGTTGTGAGTATAGAGTAGTAGTTCTTAAAACTGTGAGACTATTAGGTTACTGGGAGAGTGAGTGAAAATAGGTGAGTCCAAGTGCCTGAGTCTTGTGGCCATCTATTGGTTATAGGATAAGGAGATGAGAAAACAAATGAGGATGGAGAAGAAATCAATGATGTATAAAGAAAATTTGGGTAAGTACAGTGTCTTAGAAAAAAAAAAAAGAAGTCTCACTACGCTGCCCCTTTCCTACTCTTGACTATGAAAGGGTTTTTGTTGGGGCATTTTTGGTTTATGCTCATCAGCCTTTCTGTGTTGCTGTCTTTGACAGCTCCACATACGGGTTGTGTGAGACAAAAAGACAACTCAGACAATATACCCTCTGAAGTGAGTTGTCATTCCTCTGCTTTTGAGGTCCCTAGATGGTTTGTCTCCTTTCTACCTTTCAGAGCTCTGTTTTGTTTGGTTTGTTTTTAAAGATTTTATTTTATTTATTTATGAGAGATGCACAGAGAGAGGCAGAGACATAGGCAGAGGGAGAAGCAGGCTCCCTCCAGGGCGCCTAATGCAGGACTTGATCCCAGGACCCTGGGATCATGACCTGAGCCAAAGGCAGACACTCAACCACTGAGCCACCCAGGTGCCCCAGTTTTGTATGTAATATTCAAGATTCTTAGTTTTACTTAGCAGAAGGAATGGGAAAAAATATATCTACCCTCATCTTCTTCAAGAGAGAAGTCTAATTTCTTTTAAAATGCAGTGCATGGTGATGAATACAGCTACTATTAGTACAGCACCGTACCATTATTACCTTGATTTATGCTAAGGCAACTCCAGTTTAACCCACCATTACTTGCACCATCAGTGCAAATATCAACATGGTGAAAAAAGGCAAATAATGTTTCAGTATTATTATGAAAATAGTTTTGACCTTGCTATCCTTTTGAAAGGATATCAGGGACCACCCTTCCTACCCCAGGGGGCCGCAGACCAAAGCTCAAAAATCAGTGATCTAAGAAATACAGTTGGTCTTCCAGTGAAGTAAGGTAGGAGACAAGATCACTAGTGGAGAGGAATTTAAGGAATGAAGAGTCCCTATCAGAAGGGGGGCATTAATGTGGGTTTTGAAATATCCAAAAAAAATATAGGAGCTATCATAGGGAAGGGTTAGTAAGAAAGCTAAATGTCTTTAGGTAGGAGGGAAAATCAATATTCCGAAAACAGCCTTGACGAGTAAGTAGGGCCCTCCCTGTTTTTCAGATCTATTGGGTAAAAGTGGGTATTCAGTAAGTATTTGTTAGATTACTAAACATTAAGTGTGAGAAAGTATGCAGGTGTTTGGAACATATTTTAGAGTAGATCTGTAGATGGTTCAGCAATCTAATATATGAATTGGTAAGCTTCAATATTTAGGAAATACAGAAAAAGAAAGGTGGCTGAGAATGTTTTCTAGTCAGTAAACCAGCTTGCAAATCAAGTCTGTTTGAATGCCTTTGTGTAAATTATTAAGATAAATGTTTGGATCTGAATTAAAATTTTTACTTCTCTGAATATTATCTGATAATTGCTTTTGAAGAAGGATCATTTATTAGACTATCATGAAATCATTAATTATAGTGGGTTAACTAAATTAGAAGAATGAACTATTAATTTATTGCTTCAGCTTTGTGATTTGCATTAAAATGGGCATAAAAATGGACCAATTATTTGAATTAATCTGTGTCCTGGATTAGAGAGTTATTTAAATGGAGATTGATGGGGAAATTGTATAATTGCATACTGGAGAAAATAATTTATATCTTTTTAGCAGTAAATAATTTTAGCTTTATTTTGTCTAATTAGGAATGAGATGTCTTAAGTTGATTACTCTCATAGATTGTTTCAAGCTGTCAATTAATATAACATATAACACAATTTGGAATACTTAGGGAAACAATATATTCTTTGCATTTTAATTTTATTCCTAATTTAAATGATTATAATTTCCAGGAAGATTTATTAACAAAGTGTGAATGTGAGGGATCCCTGGGTGGCGCAGCGGTTTAGCGCCTGCCTTTGGCCCAGGGTGCGATCCTGGAGACCCGGGATCGAATCCCACGTCAGGCTCTCGGTGTATGGTGCCTGCTTCTCCCTCTGCCTATGCCTCTGTCTCTGTCTCTCTCTCTCTCTCTCTCTCTCTCTGTGACTATCATAAATAAATAAAAATTTAAAAAAAAGTGTAAATGTTTAACAAAGCAACAACCCAGCTTTCTTTATTTCAGTTCTGAGAAGAAAATGTACAAGATGAACCTAGAGAATTTTGCTGTAATAGAAAGCTAGGAAACTATCAACTCCAATGAGGGTCATTTCAAAAAGACACAGAAGCTCATGTTTTAGAAGAATTAATATTGTTAAAATATCCGTAGTACCCAAAGCCATCTATAGATTAAGTGCAATCTCTATCAAAGTCCAATGACATTTTTCACAGAAATAGAGAAAACAATACTAAAATATATATGGAATCACAAAAGACAGAATAGCCAAGGCATTGCTGAGAAAGAAGAAAAAAGCTTGAAGCATTGTACTTCCTGTTTTGAAACTATACCACAAAGCTATGGTAAAATAGTATGGTACTGGCATAAAAATAGATACATAGACCAATAGAACAGAATAAAGAAGATATGTGTATATATACAATGGAATTTTATTCAGCCATGAGAAGGAAATCCTGCCATTTGTGACAACATGGGTGTATCTTGAGGGCTTTATGCTAAGTGGAATAAATCAAGCAGAGACAATTATATATGGAATATAAAAAGCCAAACTCATAGAAACAAAGTAAAATGATTGGTTACTAGGGGTTATGGGATAAGGAAATGGCAAGATGTTGGTCAAAGAGTACAAGCTTCTAGTTATAAGATGAATAAGTCTATCCATGTAGTGGTTATAGTTATGCTATACCGTGTTACATATACTATGCTATATTGTATATACATATATGTTGCTTAGAGAGTAGGATAGACCTTGAATGGTCTCACCACAAAAAAGAAATGATTGTGTGAGGTGATGGAGGTGTTAGCCAAAGCTATCATGGAAGTCATTTTATAGTATCTAAGTGTATCAAATCAACAGTTGTGTGCCTTAAACTTATGCAGTATTATGTATTAGTTACATCTCAAAGCTGAGAGTACAAAAAGGACCTAAAAGCAGTTTGAAGGGGCTTCTACTGGCCAAACATACTACAATTTGGCCATCAAAAAGAAAAATCAACTTAGTAGATAGAAGCACATTAGATGTATTAAAATCCATGAATTTATAACGATACTTAACAGATATATAAAAAGCTACTCATTGGTTAACACAGGAGTTTGATTTACTAGAGCAGCGCAATAGGCTGAATAATGGCCTCTGAGAATATCAGGTCCTAATCCCTGGAACCTGGAAATAATTCATTTGGAAAGAGGGTCTTTGTAAATATGATTAAGTTAAGGTTCTAGAGATGGGGAGATTTACCAGGTTTATCAGGGTGATCCCAAAATGCAATCACAAATGTGTAGGAGAGAGGCCAAGGGAGGCCTTCACTAAACCACACACACCCAGTGAGAGGCCAGATAATGGAAGCAGAGTAAGAGAAACGTGAAATGTTTGCCTTGGTTATGCAGTGGTGCAGCCACAAGCCAAAGCATATTGGCAGCCACCAGATCTAAAAGAGACAAAGAATGGATTCTACCTTAGAGCTGCTGGAGGAAGTGTGGCCCTGCAGACACTTTGGTTTTGGCTCTGTGAAGCTGATTTCAGACTTAAGACTTGCAGAACTGTGAGGGAATAAACTTTTAGTCTATTTTAAGCTACCGAGTTTGTGTGGTAATGTGTTACAACAACCACAGAAAACTAATAGAGGCATAAACTTACTCTGAAAATTGATAGATAAAAGAACCAAGCATTTATCCCTTCTGTCCTGTGTGAGCTTTATTTCTGAGTAACTAAATAGCAGATGAGGGCAAGGTCTTTGTAGAAGAATGTCCTTCAATAATGCAGAAAGAATCATAGAAAATTACAGTTTTGCAATACCTAACAAAATTCTGGGTAAGACAATGATCATCAATTGATGCAGAAATCATTTGATGAAAGGCTGCTGGGGAACCTTATAATGAATGGATGAGACTGATACTTGAACCTCTGCATCAGTCTTAACATCTCAGAGACAGCCAGGTATTCTATTCCTGCTGATGTGATTCAGTAAGAAATTTGCTCTTTGGAAGTATTTTTGCCCAAAACTTGAACCTGAACCTGATCAAACCTCTAGATTTATTGACTATTTTACAGGAAAGATAGAAGATGTAATACATAAAGTAAGGCATAATAACATGTTAAGTGATACTAAAGAGATGTAGTCAGCCAATTTACGATATGGAAAATTCTACATGCCACATGACCTATTTTCTTCAACAAGTACATAACCAGTAAAACAGGAAGGGTCAGAGGAAATGTTATAATTTAAAATTGACTAGATGACAAATCAAATATGGTAAGATGTAAAATACCAATCTTTTTGGATCTGAATCAAGCAAGTGAACTCTAAGGAGACTTTAGTGGGACAAGTGGGGAAATTTGATTATTGGTTATTACATGACATTAAGAAACAATACATTTTTTAGGAATGATAATGATACTTGGTTATGCTTAAAAAAATAGGTTTTCATCTCTTAGAGCTACATACTGACAAACTTACAGATGGAGTGGTATGTCTGGGATTTGTTTTAATATAATCCAGAGAGATGGTGGAGGGGAAGGGTGGAGATGTATAGAAGAAACAAGACTGACCATATGTTGATGTTAGTTGGGGTTGGATGAAATATATGTGGGAGTTACTGATCTCCCTGTTTTTGTATATACTTGAACATTTCCATAACAAAAAGTAAAAACAGGATTAGATTATTTTAGTGCTATGAAGACCTTGATTTCAGTTTTATGGACTAATGGATGACCTCTTGAAGCAAGTTTTTTTTTTATAACATTTTTTTATCATCAAGATTTCAAATATATAAATAGTGTAAATTACTTCAATGAACCCATCATTCAGCTTCAGTTATTATTAACATGTGGTCAGACTTGTGTCATCTTTACCCCGTACGTTGTTCCTTGCAACGTATTATATTATCCATAAAAACATATATGCGTTCTCTCTATATATCTGTATGCATTATATATGTGTTATCCATGAATATATGTGCTATATCTATACGTACTATATATATCTGTGGAAGAGAAGTATCTTTTAAAATAACATAATACAAGTGGTTTTATAATTGAACAAAAATTTAACTTTTATTAGATGGAGTCAAAAATACATCCACCAAAAAAAAATACATCCAGTTATTTTTCTTGTATGCCTTATAAGGTAGCCTTGGAGTTTGATAATATAGCTATAAAAGAAGCCTTTTTAATGTAGCTATGATTCATTTTCTGTTCAGAAGTTTGGGTTCCAATACATTGTAAGTAGTCTGTTTTTTAATTTACTAATTTGACTTGTTTGAAATATCTTCTACAAATGTAAATACCAGTTAAACATTAATTCATAGGTTACAGTTTTTTTAACATGGAAAATTCAAGTCCTGAATTATGTAGTATATAATGTAAATGTTTTATAGAGAGTTTTGTAAATTGATTTTGATACTGCATTTTTTTTTATAAGGTTCTAGATAAAGCAGAATATCTAAGAGATATGGAAGCAAACCTTTTGCCTGGGTTTCTTAGGTTACAAGAATTGGTAAGTAATGTATAAGAGTCTTTTTGCCCTGTGACCTAATCAACAGATGGTCTTGTCAGAGCTTTTCGTTTTGCCAATATGACAGGTGAGAAATGAAGCTTATGTAATTTATATTTTCATTTCTCTATTATGAATTTTATTGAGCATTTTTTCCAAAATAAAAACACCTTACAATTTGATAACATTTATTCTTTAATTATTTTAGCTTTCTATTTCTATGTGAAGTGACTGACTGCTTTCTTTTAAAAGTTGTAGGTGTTTGCTAGAGTAAATGGTAGGGGCCTAGACTTTAGACTTTCTGTAAGAATTTTTAAATTTTCAGTAATCTAGGAAAAGAATCTCAAGTTCTATCTCATGGCCAGTCAGTGTCAGAACCAGCTTTGAATTACAATTTATAATTGTGCTGGCACTAAATAGTATTAATACCACTGTTAATTGTCATGGAGTAATGAGAAAAGAATAGGGATGGACTTAGTGTGCATATGTGCCAGGTCAAAACCAAATAATAATATTATGGCAGAAAAGGGTTTTGCAGAAGTTTGAGTAAAGACAACTGGGGAGAGATTTCATGGTCTACTAATACCTGTTGCATGGTATGGCAATGCTAAACTCAAAAGTTTTGAGTTTTCTATTTGTACCATAATCACAAGTGAGCAAATACTTAGTTTGATCAAAACAGTATTGTTAATCATATTTAGTTACTGTTAATTTAAGTTTTATTGATTTTATAGTTTTGTATGTAACTTACAGGTTTATTTTTGTTTTATAATCCTTTAAGTGCTTGGAGCATAAATAGTTTATACCTACCTAGTTTTATGTCTGCGTTTAAGTATTAAGTAACATTATAAATTAAGTAACATTATAAATTAATATAATGGAGAGATAAATTAATATAATGGAGAGAAATATTAATGGAAAATTAATATTTGGAGAGACAGAGCTTATGACATTTCCACTTTTGAAAAGTTAAACAGTTACTGAATATGAATATAATTACTGAAATTTGAAAAACCGTTAGAAGTTGAGAGAGGCTTTGCAAGTGCTGTTGAAATCATTGTGTGCCTAAGGTTGATTCCTGAAATCCACTTTTAGTAATAGTATTGGGTGGGGGTGCCCAATGGGAAGAAAGGAGGAGGGACAGGTGTAGCTCTTGGTAGCCATCCATAGCCATCCTGGAAATTTCCTCACACAGTCTAGCCTTTGCTAGTTAGATTAACTCTTGGCATTTTACTACTGAGACCAGGAACTCGTTGTCTTTGAGTAGATGCCTCCTCCTTCATTTCCTTTTTTTCTAGATTTATTCATTTATTTTAGGGGAAAAAAGAGAGAGAGAGAGAGAGTGTGCCAGCAGGTGTGCACTTGAGTGAAGGTAGGGGTAAAGGGAGGGGAACCTTTTGAAACAGACTCCCTGCTGAGCATGGAGCCATAAGATCATGACCTGAGCCAGAACCTAGAGTCAGACACTTAACCTACTGAGCCACCCAGGCATTCCTTTTTTTATTGTTTTGTTGTTCTGTGTTTGTGTTTTTGTTTTTGCATACCTTCATCCATTGTCCCCCATTGCTCTAGGATTCCTTGTCTGGTGTCCAGAACACATTCTTGCTGTCCTCTTGCTCTTCCACTATAGCTTTCCTTGTTTCTCCCCCCTCATGCCTAGTGGTGGTCCTCATGTGTCCCTTCATAGTAGTTAGGCCTTTCATATTTTTTTAGTTGCAATTATGGAAACTGAAGAAAATGAAGATTTATAGTAACCTAAACTCTACCAGAAAAAAGAATTGTTGTTTTGACATTTCTAGAAACATGCTTGATTTTAAAAAGTGTATTTCATTTAGGAGAAGTCAAGTAAAGACATTTCATGATTTTTTTTTTCTTTTAAGATTTTATTTATTTAGTTAGAGAAAGCACATGTGTGCACACGAGCGGAGGGAAGGGCAGAGGAGAAGAGAGAAGCAGACTCCCCACTGAGTGTGGAGCCCAATGAGAGGCTCCCAAGGTGGGACTCAATCCCAGGACCCTGAGATCATGACCTGAACCAAAGTCAGATGCTTAACTGGCTGAGCCACCCAGGTGCCCCAGCATTTTATGTTTTTTATATTAAATATTTATCTGAATAAAATTAAGTTTAAGTTATGATAGATATCATTGTATATTGAAGGTACTTTAACAGATGAGAATGTTACCAACTTAAAATCCTTAGATAGATATCTTCTATTTTTTAGACCTATTTTTGAACTGATTTTATCAAATGCTTTTTTCTTTTTTTAAGATTTTATTTATTTACGGGAGACACAGGCAGAGGGAGAAGCAGGCTCCCTTGGGGAGCCTGATGGGGGACTCAGTCCTGTGACCCTGGAATCATGCCCCAACTGAAGGCAGATGCTCAACCACTGAGCCACCCAGGCATCCCTCAAATGCTTTTAGATAATCTTTTTTTTTTTTTTTTTTTTTTTTTTAGATAATCATTTTTTAAAGCAAAATAACCCCATGCTTTGTAATCAAGATTGTATTCGGAGCATACTTTTTATCCCTATAGAAATAAATTCAAGAAGACAAAAAGCACTTTAAAGTAAAAATCTTTTCCTTTTTTTCAGAAAGAAGCTAGATTTTTGTGGAATTATTAACTTATTGAACTCAGCTATCTTTGTTAGCCAAAAAACTGGTTTTCTAAGTAATGAAAATTGGAGCATAAGATTACATATAAGTTAGGAATCAGTAAACAGTAAATCACCGTCAAAGTATGGTATAATTTGAGTGTTTGGATCCTAAGGATAGTTATAGAACAAAACAGTTATCATGTCTGCTCTGTCACCTTAGGAGATGTCAAAAAGAATATGGAGAAAAATAAAAACTTGTGTTGAAAATACAGAGGCATGTCCACAGATAAATTCTTAACTGGCATGCATAGGCCATTTGTGGCCACTCTGTAGGATAGTATACATATTGAGCTTGTTTTCTTACCCTTCCTTTTGGTGTACTGATAATACTTTCTAAATATACTTCAGAAGATGACTGTTCACTTAACAGTGGTGTTTTGTGTGTGTGTTTAATGTTTTTAATGTATATTCAACATGTTTTGCTCAGTAGTTTGTATGAAAATAGCCTTTTAAAAAAACCCTTAAAATTTCTCAATATTATATGGTTTTAAGTATGGCATATCTATTTTCCTTTAACTCTTATTTCCTCTTTGGGTTTCTGTAGCTATCTTAATGATGAGATATATTATATTCCACACCTTTTTATTGATTGAAAGCTAATGATTTCTTTGAAAATTCCCATAAAAAGACCTTGTCATTTCTATAAAGCAAACCCTTGTGTGACTGTCCTAGCTTTCATGGGTAACTGAAATGTCAATTAACCTAAAAGTTTTATGGAAATTCTAAGTAATTAGGTATGAAAATTTGCAAGTGGATGAGCTCCTTGATTAGGTTTTATAAATAAGGCTTATTAATATGCAAATAATTTGTTATATGTTGTAACTTTGCTGGATTTATTTGAAAGAAAAATTCAAATGGAATTGCTATTCTGATTAAGATTTTCAAATGCAAAGTTACTTTTATTTCTCTTTCTTTTACAGACTGACAGAAATGTGACTGTTCTGTTTCTCAGTGAAATTGTTTGGGAGAAGTTTCGTCCAAATACTGGGTGCTTTGAGCCATTTGTCTTGTATTTCCCTGATTATAGCATAGGTAAATTTTAAAACTTCATTTTGACAAATGATATTCACCAGAAGAGTTTTTGTTGTTTGAAAGATTAAGCTAGCATATTCAAATGAAATTCTTTGATACCTTAATCTGTTCAGGTGTGATGCCAAACTCAAAATGTTATAGATCTGCACTTACAGAGGTTTTATTTTGGAACTGTGAGGGGTTATTCTCATACAGTTACTAAAATTTTTTGAGTGTATTCCTCACATATTTGTGCTAATAATGGTGTATTATCACATTTTTAAATCATACTGATTACCATACTGGTAAGATGCATATATTATGATGGTAACATCTGTGTAAGTAAAAGTTAGACTAGGTTGGCAGAACACATTTAAATTGTATAGAAATCTTTATTTACCATGTATTTGGGTTAAGTACTATGTGAAATGTGTCTTTTAACTTTGTAAATCTCATTTTATTTTTCGTTAGTGTTCCTCTTATAATACCAGCTGCTAGTTGTGTTTCTTATTTCTTTTTGGTTAGTATTTAATCTTAAATTTCATAGATCTTGATTATTTTTGTCTTTGGAAGAACACTGTAGCTTTTTGTGTTGCTGAATAGTTTTGTAGATTAGTATTGTGTTGTCCCTATACAAATAGGACACTTCTGATTCAGAGTTTATAAATGCGAAGCTTAAAGTGGTTACAAGGCTATTAAAAAATAGCATTCCTTGACCTTGGCCTCATTAACACTAGCCCTCTGAACTAATCAGCTGTGAACATTCATTGTTAAGATAAACACATTTTTGCCTATTTACACCCAAACAGCAATCAAATGACACCTTCCTTTAGCTAATTAACTGAAATAGAAGAAAGGAACCCAAAATAGATGAAGGGAGCCCTTATTTTCAATAGCTTCTCTTCCATAAAAATTGTAAAAGAAAGGGGTAAGAAGAAAAGGAATAAATCAAAGGAATTCGTTTAAAAAATTCCTTTGTATCTGTGTCATTACTGTTCAAAGTTAACTTTTTTCATGACCCTTTCAGGGTGTAAGTACTGGAAAACTATTTCAAATTTAAGAAAATTATTTTTTAAAAGCTGATTTTCTACATCTTAGTGAAGTTGTATTAAAGCATGGCATAATTGTAGAATATGATTGAAAATTTTAGAAAGGAAAGATACAAAGCATCATAGATGGAGAGAATTTGGGGACATAGTTAAATAAAGCAATCTTGCCAATTTCAGAGAGTATAGCTTACTAGGTTTTTGAAGTATAATAATGAAGTCACGTTTAATCTGATAATCTGATGATTTAATTTAGGTCCTTCTGTATGCCAAGATTTTTTTTTAAAAAGCAAAACACTGTAATCACACAGAAAGGCATTCAAAAAGGAAACATTAATTGATAAACTCATCTTTTGGTAAGGCTTTTTTTTTTTTTTCCCTTCTGGTGAATTATAATGCACTTCATCAGCTTTTTGGTTTGGTTTAGTTATTGTATCATTCAGGATATATTATACTCCAATAAGCACTCTGAAAATATCAGTGACGTAGCTTCCTATCTCACAACCTTTGTCTATTGTCCTGTGTTTTACTTCTACATTTATTATAAACCCTGTATTTTTTAAAAAGATTTTATTTTTTTTATTTATTTGAGAGAGAGAGAAGGAGAGCATGAGCAGGAGGAGAGCAAAGGGAGAGGGAGGGAGAGAATCTCAAGCAGACTATGCACTGAGCATAGAGCTTGACTTGATCTCACCACCCTGAGATCATGACCTGAGCCAAAATCAAGAGTTGAACACTTAACTGTCTGAGCCACCCAGGTGCCCTATTATAAACGCCATATTAAATTATTTGGACTTGAAAGAAATAAAAAATCTTGTATTGTTTATCTTGCTTGAACTTCTTGGATATATGAATTGTATAGTTTCATCGACTTTGGAAAATTTCAGCCCTTATTTCTTCAAATACCTTATCTTTGTTACCTGTGCCCCCTTTCCTTTCCTATTCCTGGGACTGCATTACATATATGTTAGACCACTTGATATTGTTTCACTGAATCTGTTGACTTACTTAAATTTTATTAAATCTTTCTTCTTTATGTTTTATCAAGGATAGTTTTTTTCTGTCTTTAAGTTACTTTTTTTTCTACAAGTGTCTATTCTGCACTTAATCCTATCCAGTGGAATTTTTCATTACAGATCTTGTACTTTTGTTTTCCTTTGTATTTTTGAGATTTTGAGCATGTTTTAATAATAAGTTGTTTTAATATCCTTTCCTATTGATTCCACGACCTCTTTCATTTTGGGTTTGTTTCTGTTGAGTAATTTTTATCTGTTATTGGTATTCATTATGCTACTTTGTGTATTTAGTAATTTCTTTTTCTTTTTTCTTTTTTTTTAATTTAAATTCAATTGGTCAACATAAAGTGTAACACGCAGTGCTCATCTCATGACATGCCCTCCTTAATGCCTATCACTCAGTTACCCTATCCCCCAACCCCACCTCTCCTTCCGCAACTCTTTTATAATTTTTTATTGAATAATAGATACTGTGGTTTTTGTTGTTATATGCAGGACATTTTTCTAGGTAGCACTTAAATTTCTTAAAGATATATCTGATTCTTTTAGGGCATTTCTTAAGCTTTTTTGAAGGGATGTGCTGGAGTAATCTTTATTCCAGGGGTAATTTAAGCCTTCCTTCTAAGACATAGCCCTTTTGAGATCTCTACTTGTTTCTACAATATTTTGTGCATTCATTCTGACTGGTGGCAGTATGAATGATTTATAGTTCTGCATGAGCTCTGATAATTGTTTGATTGACACCTTTCCACTAATTGTTTAACCCCAGAAATTGTTCTTACTTGGCCTGTGGGGTTTTACTCTGTGCATATATAGATTGGTATTCAGACAAGACTCGGGGGATCCCTATGTAGATTTCTGGAGCTCTTTCTTTCCATAGCTCTTTCTCTCTTATACTCTACCCTGCACATTCTAACTGCCTTAAATAGCTCCCTCTACTCTGATCTGTATCTTCTCAACTTATTGGGATTAATGATTCCTTGGAACTTTCCTATACCATAGTTCTAAAATTACAGTTACCTCTTATTAGAAAGCCTGGCTGATGGCTCATTTGTTTCCTTTTTCTCAGGTATCACAGTCCTTTATTGCCTGTTGTTTGAAGTCTGAAAATAGTGTTTTTTTGTATTTTGTCCAGTTTTTAGTTTATTACAGGAGAGTATTTCTGGAGCCTCTTACTTTTTCATGACTAGAAGCTGAAGTTCCTCTTCAAGTTAGAAATGATTGTTTCTTTGTGTGTAAAGCTATTCTTTGATAGTGTAATTTTAAGACAACAGGAGACCAATCAGATGGTTTCTCCTTCCCTTTATTTACTACCTGCTAGTGCACTATTTTTGGCTTCCTATTAGAGATAGCATTTTTCCGTAAGTTTGAACAGTCCCAGATAATTAGAGTTTCTATAATGTACGGTTGTACTCTGCAATTTTGCCTGTAGTCTAACTAAGCAGCTGGTTTATTTTTATAGCCACACAATGAGCTAACTCTTATAACACTTTCATCAGGATTGGGCCAGTTGTAGCACCTAATCAACTTTCATGTGAAGCACTTAGAGTCACCAATAAGGGTTATCTAGATAGAGATGTACAGGAGGATGTTAGGAGTGCAGTCTCAGCTGGAGACTGTTTTCCAGATTTCTGCACCCATGCATTTGTAGAGCACTTTTTTCTCCTACGTATGTTCATCTGACCAACCATCCATCCCTTCTATCTCCAAGTTTTAAGGCACCTTTTAGAAACTTTCAGGTATCCAGTATTTTCCCATGCATAGTTTTAAAAAGCTTAGTAACAATAAATTTAAAATGTCTTATTAGAATGTAAGAAATACATAGACTTCAAAGTTAAGTTTCGGACTTTGTGTATTTTTTTTTTCAGTGGTCATGATTTTAAAAATGCAGATCTGATAAGAGTCTCCCATCCAGAATCCCTGCAGGGTAATATTCCAAGGATGTGGCTAGGCTTTGAAATGTTGTTCTATGTTTTTTTTTTTTTTTTTTTTTTGTTGTTGTTTTCCCTTCAGCAGCAGCCCTATCTAAAAGAGCCCCTTAAGGGATCCCTGGGTGGCGCAGCGGTTTGGCGCCTGCCTTTGGCCCAGGGCGCGATCCTGGAGACCCGGGATCGAATCCCACATCGGGCTCCCAGTGCATGGAGCCTGCTTCTCCCTCTGCCTGTGTCTCTGCCTCTCTCTTTCTCTCTCTGTGTGACTATCATAAATAAATAAATTTAAAAAAAAAAATTAAAAAAAAAAAAAAAAAAAATAAAAGAGCCCCTTAATATAGCTATAGGTTTATATGTATCCAGTGATAGGCCATATATACTGTTTGATCTTGCACCTATATCTAATTGATGTGAGGAACAAGAGAGTGATAGAGTCAAGGGCTGATGGTAAATAGCATAGTGTCTATGGTAAAAATACTCACCTAAAGGGAACCCTAGTTAAAAGGAAATTGACTTGATCAGAAATCCTCTAAGACTTTTTACTTGTTAAGTATTGCAAAAATCCTGAACCTGTGGAAAGAGGTTTAAAATATTAGTCATAGTCAAAGAACTTCTAACCAAGGAGTCTAAAGAGACCATTCATTGCACCAAGGACTCAGAGGGAATTATAATAAGGAATGAATGACTGATTTCATATACTATACCTGGGAAATTTTGAATAATGGATGGTTGTTTCTCTTTTAATTTTAACTGTGCTTCTACAATATATTTCCAGCAGGATAAAAGAAAGTTTAGGGTTCTAAACCAGTGATACAAAGAGTTTAAGATAGAAGAGAAATAAAGATACCAAAGCTTTAGGCAGAAAACATGATTGATTGATTTAAAAACTTTTTTAAAATTTATTTATTCATTCAATCATAGAGAGAGAGAGAGAGAGAGAGAGAGGCAGAGACACAAGCAGAGAGAGAAGCAGGCTCCATGCAGGGAGCCCAACGTAGGACTCGATCCCGGGTCTCCAGGATCACACCCTGGGCTGCAGGCAGTGCTAAACCGCTGCGCCACCTGGGCTGCCCCGAAAACGTGATTTATAAAAGGGGGAATGATAAAGATGATGATTTTCATAAAAACTTATGAATTCTTTTTATTTTTCAAAAAATGAAGAGCACTTTTCCAGTTTGGTGGTAGTTTATGTAGTACTCTTGTTTTTTCTAGTTGATTTACTTGTAGGCAGGAAAATAAGTAGAATATATATTATTTTTCACTCTTGATATTGATTTGCCTACAGGGATTCTTGAGATTTTCTTTAGATATAATTGTTTAATATTTGTTTTAGCAGTTTTTAGTAACTCTTTTTGGTACATTAGATTCATAATTCTTTAACCTTAGTTTCAAAAGTTGTGTTATATTTCTAATCTTGTAGCAGTTTTCTTATTCTTTAATATTTGCTGGGCTTGTATATTTATTATTATACCTCTGTTGTAAAATGCTAGAAGATAACTGGGGTTCTGGGTTAATCCTTAAGTTCATTTTTGTCCTCTGAACAGGGAACCTTCAAAAGATTCTGTCACACGATCATCCTCCAGAGTATTCAGCTGATTTCTATGCTGCCTACATTAATATTCTTCTTGGAGTTTTCTACACTGTCTGCCGAGATTTGAAAGAGCTCAGATACCTGGTGAGTGAGCATTTTACTTTTAAAAAAAGCACATCTTTTAATATTTTCCCACATAAAAATGGTGTGAGGTAGGCTAGCCACTGAAAATTTATTCTGGAAATATGGATAGGCTTTTTGAAGCTAACATTAAGTAGGTGGGTGTCTGTGCCTTAATTCAAACTTCAGTCTGATCAGAAAGCCTTCATTCATTTTTAGTTCTATCTTCTCACTCTTCCTGAGGAGTGTTCTTGTTTCCTTTTTTCTCTTTTTCTAATTGCATAAAATGTAAGACTTCATTAAAATCAAAATGAAGAGAAATAGAAGATATAAAAGCTTAATAAGTAATTGTCTTTTAATTTTTTTGTAACATTTCTTTCAGGTTTTGTGTATATAACAGTCATGGTCTGGCATCTAGATGAACTTGAGGATAGTCAGAAGCCTAATTACAGGTCTCTCATGAGCCACTGACCTTGAATTATTACTTTAAATAAGGGGTTACTTTTAATATTTATATAAATTTACTTAAAAAATTATTTAAAAGAGCAGAAAGCTATTTATATTTTGCCTGTTTTGGACTTTATCTAAATGGAAACATATAATATGCATAGGTAATTTGGAAAGTAATCATTTTTCTTTGATCTTTCTACTTTTTAATTGGATGTGAAGGGGAGGAGGCAAGAATATCTTGTTTCCTTTTTAGAAATGTTCCATTAATACTAAGATTTTATCTACATGTAAGAGAAAGTAGTAATATATCTTAGGCTGGAAAACTGTTATTTTAAAATAAACGGATTCTATAGATCTTAGCACATTTTCTTTTACTCTTTGCACTGAAGAGTCACTTAGAGGGATTCAGTATGTGTTTGAATGTGTGTTGGAGACAGAATGTAGAAGAAGGTGACCATTTAAAATTGTGTTCACATTTAGTGTGTTTTCTAAGTTTTAGATTTTAGGCTTCTTCTGATTTAGATATAGCTATTAAGTGTCTTCTCAGTAGGGAAGAAACAAGAGACAAGCTGTTCTAGATCAAGCCCATCACTAACATCTGTCCAGCAGTTGAACGTCTTGGATCCCTGGTGCCCAAAAGGGCTTACAGAGAGGAGGGAGGGTCAGTACACAGTCCTTGTATAAGGTGGAGTCACAGGAAAATACTCCTCCACCACCTGGGATGTAACTCGCAGTTAACACAACTTAGCACTGATGTCCTTGAATCCTGTGGGAATCTGTCCTGGAAGATTGTCCCATGGACGTTTGGAGTGTGGGAAGAGGTGGGTTCCGGGCTGCAGGATGGTGAAGGCAGCTGGCACCGAGTTTTCTGCCTTGCACATAACTCACCTGTCTCACATGCCGCTGACCGACCCAGCATAATTCTACTTCTAACGGTCATGACTCTCAAATCTGAAATTCTTTCATGTATTTTTCAAACTATTATTATTATTTTTTTATGAGCAAGAATTGTCACAATTCTGAAATGGTTGCAGATCTGTCCCCTTGGTCTCCGTTGACTCAAGAGGACAGTATACACCAATGTGTTTCTATACATACTAGTTATTTTTACTTATTTATGATATGATTGTATGCTAGGGAAAAATGGTCCCTGAGAACTAAAATAGATTAGATTATAAAATTTTGCGAATAAAGAATCATGGGGTCTGGCTTCACAACATAGTTTCATAAGTATTATAATACAACTACCTCTTAATAATAGCCAGTTTTATTGAGTACTTATTGTGCACTGGCCACTGTTTTAAGCCTTTTACCAATATTGACTCAATTCTTGTAACAACCCTCTGAAGGAAGGCATTATCACGAATTTTCATTTTATAGATGAAGAAACACAAGATGAGTCATTTACCAGCCGTATGTTCTTGGCAAGTTAACCTTTTTGAACTTGAGTTTTCTATTAAGTAGGTTTAATACCTGCCTCAGAATTTTGTGAGGTTAAAAAAATCACACACACACAAAAGCAAACACATGTAAAATGCCTGATAGCTGAAGGAGATCAGCTAATTTTAGTTCTTTTCCTCCCTCTGTTGAGCAGAGGTTCATAGACCTAAAATCTATTGTAATCTTACTGTCTTCAATGACATCAACCATGGCGTGGCTATGGAGACTGCTCACCAAAACTGCTGTAGGATTTTGCATCATATTAAAGTCATGTTATTAAAGAAATATGAAGTTTGAAGGATGACCTGTCAGAACAGCTATCATTCTGTTGATTGCCAGGTTTGGTTTGAGAGATGGCTGGGTGAGTGGGTGTCCTTCATCATTCTTTTATATCTTCATACTGATTGATTTATGAATGAGGTTGACTTTTCCACATAGAGAAGAGCTATTTTTTGGTGAAAGGTACTTAAGGGGGAAGCACAGAGTCTTCAATTAGGAGAAATAACTTAGTTTGGTTTGTTTTCCTTTTATTTTTTCTTGTTTTTTTGATTAAAGTATAGGGTACATAGAGAAGAGCACAAGGGGTGCCTGCATGGCTCAGTGGGTTAAGTGTCCAACTTTCGATCTCAGCTCAGGTCTTGATCTCAGGTCATAGTTAAGTGCCACTTCGGGCTTCATACTGGCTTTGGAGCAGAGTTTAAGGGAAAAAAAAAGTAAAGCACAGCACAGAAACAATACATATATATCACAGTGAATTATACAAAATGGAAACATATGTAAACATAATCCAGATCAAAAAGTAGAAAATCCAAGGAACCCACTTCATGCTTCCTCCCAATCTCTACTTCTTCTTCCCTCCCCAGAAGTAATCAGTATCTTTGCTTTGAACATAAAAGGTTGGTTTTGCCTGTTTTGGACTTTATCTAAATGGAAACATATAATATGCATTCTTTTTTATCTATCTACTTTTGCTCAACATTTTGAGATATTCATCCATGTTAAATGAAGCTGTGGCATATTTTAAGTGGTCTCGTAGCCATCTTTAGACTTGGGGTGAGCAAGAAGCCGTATTTAGCTAGCTTTTCCAGTTGGGCTTTTACTGGATACCTTTATTTTTGGCCTTGAATAATTAAGAATTCTTTTTGTATTACAACCATGTTCAGGGATCCCTGGGTGACGCAGCGGTTTGGCGCCTGCCTTTGGCCCAGGGCGCGATCCTGGAGACCCGGGATCGAATCCCACGTCGGGCTCCCGGTGCATGGAGCCTGCTTCTCCCTCTGCCTGTGTCTCTGCCTCTCTCTCCCTCTCTCTGTATCTCATGAATAAATAAAATATTAAAAAAAAAAAACATGTTCAGTGGTATTGGCATGTTAATAGTTTGCTCTCATTAGTCTATTAGATACAGTATTTATAAGATAATGAAACTATTGGATAGTTTTAAATTTAAAGATTTCAGAAGCAATTTCTAATTTACAAAAAAAAACTGCAGGTACATTAAAAAGAACTTTTCCTTCTTTTTTTTTCCTCAGATAACCTGAGATAAGTTTGTGATGTGATGCCCCCCCTTGACCCCAAATACTTTAGTGCATATATGTGGAAGGCATTCTTCCACATAACTACAGTACAACCATCAAAATGAGAAAGTGGCCTTATTGCTTCAACCTAATTCAAACCCTATTCAGTATTTGCCAGTTGTCACAGTAATGTACCTGGGAGCAAGAGTCCAGTTCAGGATCACAAACTGCATTTAGTTGCTGTGTTTCTTGAACTTTCATCTGGAACAGTTGTTCAGTCTTCGACTTTCATTGTCTTGAGTGAGACCTTTGAAGATTACAGTCCAGTTGTTTTGTGGAATCAACTTCAATTTGGATTTGTCTAATGTGTGCTTGTGGTCAGATTCAGGTTATGCATCTGATAGGAATATCACAGAAATGATGCTTTGTTCTCATTGCAGTTTATCAGATGTTACAGGATTTCATTTTGTTTTGTAACTGATAATGTTCACTTTGATCATTTGGTGAAGATGGTATTTTTTTCTCCTTTTTGTGGGGAAGTACCTTTAAACCTTATAAATACCTTACTCTTCATCATATCTATCTGGCTTCAAGATATCCTTATTTAAGATTAGGGTAGTTACCAGGTGGGTGACACCTAATCACATGAGCATTTTAAAAGCAGAATTTTCTGTGGCTGACCAAAGAAGAGGAAGTCAGAGATTGGAAACATACTTTAACTTCTCTATAAGGTGGGGATGATAATAATAATGTCTACCTCATTGACTCATTTAGAGGATTTTATTTTTTAAAGATTTTATTTATTTATCCATGAGAGACACAGGTAGAGGGAGAAGCAGGCTCCCTTTGGTGATCCCAGGACCCCAGGTTCACACCCTGAGCCAAAGGCAGACACTCAACCATTGATCCACTCAGGTGCCCCTCATTTTAGAGGATTAAATGAATTAATGCATGTAGTAAGGCATCCATTGCTTGATTAAATTAATGTTAGTACAAATGTTCTCAGTTCTGATTTTTATTTCTCTAATGTTTCAGAGATGAAATGTAGTCTTAAAAAGGCAGAAGAGTTCAGAGATTATATCTCTGTGACCTTGGAATATTGGAATATGTCTTTACATTTGTACTTGAACATGTGTATTATTAGCTTTCTGTGGCTGCATAACGAAATGCCATGAATTTAGTGGCTTGAAGCAACACACGTTTATTAGCTGACAGTTCTGTAGGTCAGAAATGCAGGCACTGTTGCTGGTTTCTGCTCTGGATGTCACTGATGAAATTAAAGTTTTGGCTAAACTGTATTCTCATATTGAGGTTCTGGGAAAAATAGCTTCCAGGCTCATTCAGACTTGACGGAATTTGGGGGTTTTTTGGCTGTAAGAATGAGGTCTGAAGCTGTCCTGCTGGTTGTCAACCCAAGTCTCAGGCCTCTTAGAGAGCACCTGTATTCTTGGCATGGACCTACCCATTTACCAGCCAGCAAGGGTTTATTGAATCTTGCACTCCTAATCTCTGATTTCTGTGACTGGCCAGAGAACACTGTCTGCTTTTGAAGGGCTTGTATGATTAGGTCAGACTCATCTGATTGTCTTTCTCCCATAAATAGTACAGTCTTTGAGACTTTGATTACATCTACAAAATTCTTCTATAGCAGTACCTAAATTAGTGTTTGAATAACTGGGAGAAGGTGTGCCTATCTATCAGGGGCTGACAGTCTTGGGGAGCTATCTTAGAGTTCTGTTTACTACAATATACATGTATCAGATGAGGGTTTTTTTCTTTTTTTAAGTTTTTATTTAAGTAATCTCTGCATCCAACATGGGGCTCGAACTCACGATTCTGAGATCAGGAGTGACACACTCTTCCGACTGAGCCAACCAGGTGCCCCATCAGATGATTTTCTGATAAATAATTTCAAATAGAATAATGACGTTTTAGTGAAAATCTCCCTGAGGGAAGAGTTGGAAGTTTCCTAAATTGCCTATCTCTGTCTTGTGGCAGCTTAGTCACTATTCACAATGGATCTTAAAGCAATGTAAGTTTTCCTTGGCAATATGGGAAATGGTTTTTTCACCTAGATCAGAGTTCAATAATATTGCACCCTCAATTGGGATGCCTGGGTGGCTCAGTGGTTAAGTGTGCAACTTTGGCTCAGGGAGTGATCCTGGGGTCCTGGAATCAAGTCCCACATCAGGCTCCCTGCATGGAGCCTGCATCTTCCTCTGCCATGTCTCTGCCTCTCTCTGAGTGTCTCTCACAAATAAATAAATACAACCTTTAAAAAAATTGCACCCTTATTGATTTAGAAATAAATTCCCAGAACATCTCATAAATCCATGATCATGAATTCAGGGACTGGAATCTGTCTGTAGGCAGATTACTCGGCTGATAAATGAGTATCAGAAGGGTGCAAATGTCAGGAATAAGTGAGATAGTAGGTGGCCATAACTAATAATTATCATATTATACTTCTGTTAATATTATGAGCATGATCATTTGCTGAGCACATGGTCATTTCTTAAAGTTATGCCTCTGTCTTGCCTACCCTGCAACCACTTTTCATGAATGTGACCAGGTAAGAGTATAATATATACTTAAGGTTTAATGGAGAGATAAATGGGAGGAATGTTCCGTGGGAGTGAAAATTTATTATATAAAAAAATTATCTAAAAATTATATCTGCTTGGGTTTTGGAATTATTTTTTTAATTTTATTAGCAGCCTTTTTATTTCCATTCTCTGAGTAGTTGGGAGGACAGTTTAAAATACCAGTGGACCTGAAGTTAGATTTGCTGTAAGTAATCCTAATACAAGGAAGTAAGATTCGCTTATATTTGAGGATTTATATTGGGCATAATATTGGAGAGCACGTTTGAATGTTAATAGTCAAAGGTGTGAAAATTATTTTTTTTAAAGATTTTATTTATTTATTTGGGATAGAGAGCACAAGCAAGGCAGAGGGAGAAGCAGACTCCCTGCTGAGCAGGGAGCCCGATGTGGGACTCCATCCCAGGACCCCAGGATCATGACCTGAGCCATGACACTTAACTAACTGAGCCACCTAGGCGCCCCATGAAAATTATTTTGTATTTGGACAGATTATTTTGTCAATTGCCTTTTTTAATGAGGTCTAGGATTTATAGATTTCCTTAGACACAGAGCTTGTATTTGGATAGTTAAGGGTACTCACAATTATAGTTTTAATATACTCAGCAAGTTCTTATGGAATGACATGGGGAAAATACTAACTTACTAAAGTAAAACAGGAAAATAGTCTCCTAAAATTATCTTCATTACCTCTTTACTGCTATTTGTAAATGATTAAGCATATATTTTAATGTTTGGGCCAAGAAAAAAAAAAGCAGTTACTCAATTTGTTTACCAGTTACTCCTGATATTGTGACATGTTACTGAATTATGAAGCAGTGTTCTGATCTGAAAACCTGAAACTAAGAAAGTTGGCCTCTCTACACTTAATATTAACAGAGTTTGGAAGATTTTTCTACCCTAAACAGTTGCTTTTTATGGAGTAAAATAGGAAAAACTGTTTAAAGGATTATTAGTTCTCAGCTCCCTCTTACCTTCTAGATTTGAGGTTGGATAGTTACACATTTACATCTCTCTTTCACCAGGCTTTATTATGGAATCATTTAAGTAAGAAATACTTGCAATCAAGTTCATAGTAATAAGTGATAGCAGTGTGTTTTTATCAGTTTCCTCAAACTGCCTCTCAGTAGAATTCCAGTGTTGATTCATGGAAAACTATGAAGTAATTATGATTAGTTAGTGCTTCTTGGGGGTGCCTGGGTGGCTCAGTAGGTTAAGCATCTGTCTTCAGCTCAGCCTTCAGCTCATGATCCCAGGGTCCTGGGATGGAGCCCAGTGTTGGGCTTCCTGCTCAGTGGGGAGTCTGCTTCTCCTGCCCCTCCCCCCTGCTCATGTTTGTGTATGCTCTCCCTCTATTTGGAAATAAGAGTTAGTACTTCTCAGACTTTGGAATACATAGAATTTTTGGAGAGATTGTTAAAGCATGGATCCTGGATCTCATTCTTAGAGGTTCTGATCTAGTATGCCTGGCATGGTGCCAAAAACTTGAATTTATCGTCATTTCCGGTGGTATTGCCAATCTCATAATTTTGAATTGTACTGAATGAGATGATGTTTGATTTGTGAGAATGTTCAGACCTTGGAAAGTAACAGGTTAATTCTTTGGGCTAGTGGTATTGTGTGTTTTATGGTCCTTTGCAACAGAATTATAAACTAAAATGACAAATTACGCTTTACTATATTACTTTATATCTAGAAGCAAATACATTAGGATTTAGTCAATTCAGGAGTATTTTACATGTTTTACTGTCATTTTCGATATTTGTTTTATTGTTGTAATAAGCTATAATATTTTACTTTAATTATATTGAAATAAAATTGCCTACATTCTAATAAACATTTTACTTGAAAATAATTCCCAGTTGTGGTGGATAAGTGCTTTTTCTCTTTTTTTCCTTTTATTTACAGGCAGTGCTTAATTTTCCTAAATATTGTGAACCCGTGGTTAAAGGAGAAGGTAACTATGTAATTTTACTTCTTAATATTTGTTTTGAAGCAATTTCTGTAAGATCTGAATTTTTGAAATTTTTCTGTCTTTTGGGGTAGCAAATGAACGTGATACTCGCAAACTCTGGAGGAATATTGAACCTCATTTGAAGAGAGCTATGCAGACTGTTTATCTCAGGGAAATATCAAGGTAATTTTCTGTTTAGTGTGTATAATATTTTTATCTTTAGTTTGGAGGTTTTTTCTACTAAAGTGTATATGTTTTCCTTCACCTTCTTAACATTAGGAAAACATGAGTTTTGAATCATTTCTTCTTACTTTTAGAAGGACAGTTTTTAACCAGTATATCACACAGTTTGAAGCAAGGCATATATCTCACAATTGCTGTTTTTTTTTTTTTTTTTAAGTCTGGAAAGCTACAGAAAAATCAGCTCTAGCTTTGTTTTTTATATTTGTGTTAGATATTTGAATAGGTTTAATGAAAACTTGATTATTAGAGCAATGTGTAAATCAAGTCGTAGGTCTACACTTGTCTTATTAGAACTTCATAGGTAGTGAAACTACTCAGGAGATATGGTAGCATTTAGTGCAATGGGAAGAACGGGGTTTTGATTTCTATTTTAGCCATTTTCTGCCTTGTGTGATCTTAGCAAGTCACCTAGAAACCTCTAGGCCTCAGCTTCCTCCTCTCACAGTTCTTCCAAAATTTAAAGAATGTGTGTGAAAATGTTTTGTGAATGATACAAGTGTCTTACAGGTGAGTAAGCCTCAGTTACAAAACAATATAGGAAATTTAAAAACATCAACAACACAATCTACTTTTCTTTCTGGTCAGTAGTGTTACAATTTTTCTTTCATAAATACCTTAATCTGTAATTACTTTTCATACTAACTTTGCTTTTCATTTAATTGATTAGGGTTGCTGGGTGGCTGACTGGGTGGCTCAGTTGGCTAGGTGTCTGCCTTTAGTTCAGGTCATGATTCTTGGGTCCCTCTGCCCCTGGAACTGAGCCCTGGATCTGGGGCCCTGCTCAGCAGGGGGCCTGCTTCTCACTCTCCCTCTGTGCCTCAAGCCCTGCTGTGCTTTCTCACTCTCTCTCAAATAAAATCTTAAAAAACAATTAGCTGATTAGACTATAATTCAGGGAGAAATTTACGTTTTTAAATAAATAGAAACATTACAAAGGTACTGTTGTTCTCTTCAGTAATAAGTTATTTGATGATTTTCGGAAGTCACAGAGTAGAAAAGTTTGTGATCTGCTTTTTTAAAGGTAGGAAACTTTGGATGCTTGTTAAAATGATTTTACATGATAATGAAAGTACTTAGAGTTTCCTGTAGGGTAGTGATGGCCACATATCCAGTTTTCTTCACAAGGTCAATGAGGAGAGCAGAGGTACTCCTGGGTGTCTCAGTGGTTGTGTGTCTGCCTTTGGCTCAGGTTGGGATCCCGGGATCCTGGGATCGAGTCCTGCATCAGGCTCCCTGCGTCTGCCTATGTCTCTGCCTCTCTCTGTGTGTGTTTCTCATGAATAAATAAATAAAATCTTTAAGAAAAAAAAGATCAATAAGGAGAGCAGATAAAATCACTCATAACTCTTGCCTGCATTATAACTAGGAGACTATGGATTTAACTACAAACTTCAATTTATATGTAATTAGTGAAAGGAAGGCAGGGGAGCCAGCTCTGGAGCTCATGCTGATGTAAAACATTAGGCAGTGACTGCAAGGAGAGGACAGAGGGAGTAGGAGATGGGGTCACTAGTAGTGGTGAAAGACAGATGAAATCACTTTAGGATTTTTGGACCGGTCAGTGAGTTTTGGCTTCAATGTAAAGTCACCAGCCTCATTGGCCCCTTATAAGAGAGTCAGCTCTCTAACTCCAAAAGTCCTAGATGGCATCTTCTGATAGAAGGCTGTTCCACCTAAAATGAAAATCTGTTGTTTAGTGCAGCCACTTTCATTCACGATCTTAGCTAGATCTGGAATAACGCTGCAGCTTTTATGTCAGCACCTTCTGCTTCACCTTGCACTCTTACGGAGACGGCTTCTTTCCTTAAATCTCGTGAACCAACCTCTACTAGCCTTAAACTTTTTCTTCTTTGGCTTCCTCTCCTCTCTCAGCCTTCATAGAGAGTTAGGGCCTTGCTCTGGATTATGCTATGGCTTCAGGGAGTGTTGTGGCTGGTTTGATCTTCTGTCCAAACCATTAAAATGTTCTCCGTATCAGCAGTAAAGCTGTTTTGGTTTCTTATCATTTGTGTGTGCACTGGAGTAGCACTTTTCAGTTTCCTTTAAGAACTTTTTCTTTGCATTTACACTTTGGCTAACTGTTGGTGCAAGTGGCCTAGCTTTTGGTTTATCTCAGCTTTTGACAGGACTTCCTCACTAAGCTTAATCATTTCTAACTGGTGATTTAAAATGAGAGACCGGGACTTTTTCTTTCACTTGAACACTCAGAGACCATTGTAGGGTTATTAATTGGCCTAATTTCAATATTGTTGTGTCTCCGGGAATAGGAAGGCACAAGGAGAGGAGGAGATGGGGGAATGGCCAGTCCATGAGCATTAAAGTTTGCCACCTTCTATGGGTGTGGTTGGTGACCCCCAAAACAATTAGAATAGTAATATCAAAGATCACTGATCACAGATCACCATAAGAAATAATAAAAATGTTTTTTTTATCCATTCATCTTTCGATGGACACTGAGGCTCCTTCACAGTTTGGCTATTGTGGACATTAGAAATGACAAATACCCACCATTTGCTTCGATGTGGATAGAACTGGAGGGTATTATGCTGAGTGAAATAAATCAATCGGAGAAGGACAAACATTATATGGTCTCATTCATTTGGGGAATATAAAAAATAGTGAAAGGGAATAAAGGGGAAAAGAGAGAAAATGAGAAGGAAATATCAGTGAGGGTGATGGAACATGAGAGACTCCTAACTCTGGAAAATGATCAAGGGGTGGTGGAAGCGGACGCAGGCGGGTGGGGGGTTGGGGTGACTGAGTGACGGCCACTGAGGGGGGCACTTGACAGGATGAGCACTAGGTGATATGCTGTATGTTGGTAAATCAAACTCCAATAAAATTTTTTTTTAAATAAAGAAATAATAAAAATGAAAACATTTGAAATAGGGGGTGCTTGGGTGGCTTAGTTGGTTAAGTGTCTGCCTTTGGCTCAAGTCATAATAAAGCCTGCTGAGCAAGGAGCCTGCTTCTCCTTCTCCTTCTGCCATTTCCCTCACTCATGCTCTCAATCTCTCTCAAATAAATCTTTAAAAAAAATTGAAATAGTATGAGAATTACCAAAATATGACAAAGAGACATGAAGTGAGCAATTTTGGGAAAAATGGCACTGATAGACTTGCTTGATGCAGGCTTGCCACAGACCTTCCATTTGTAAAAAATGCACTATCTGCAAAGCACAGTGAAGTGAAGCATGGTAAAATGAAGTATCCCTGTATTTCTATAATTTTCAGCTATGCTTGCAGGTTTAAAAAATATATTCAGTTTGATTTGGGATATTTAGTCCTGGTCTGACATTTATTTTTAAATTAGTATTTTAAGGGCTGAGTTACAGAGTTGAGAGGGTCCTTAGAGATCATTGCGTCTAACTGCCTTATTTTTTGGTGAGAAGGTTACTGATTTATTCAAGGTCATACAGCTAAAACTTGTCTTTCAGGGCAGGTTTTTTCCTTGCACTGTAGTATATTTCCTAATGAATTTGATTTGTCATATCATCACTTCATATTCTTAATAGTATTTGAGGCTGTTTAATAGTTTTAATTGTAAGATCAGAGGGAGACAGTGGAAATGGCATGAACTTTATAAGGATTCAGTTCTTAGCTCCATTACTGACTGGCTGGGTGTTCTGGGGCCTGGGGCAACTTAACCTATGGTCTTCAACTTTCTATTTTTTTTTAATAGTTTATAAGATTTTACTTATTTATTTCAGAGAGAGAGAAGGAGCAGAGGGAGGAGCAGGCTCCCTGTTCCACAGGAAGCGCAATGTGGGACTTGATCCCAGCACCCTGAGATATGACCTGGGCCGAGGGCAAGAAGTTTAACTGACTGAGCCACCCTAGTGCCCCCATTTCAAACTTTTTCATTTTTATTGTCTCTTATGGTGATCTGTGACCTGTGATCTTACCATTTTAATTGTTTTGGGAATCACAAACTGTACCCACAGAAGATGGCTGCATCTGATATGCTCACTGGAGCATTGGGAGTTTTACTGAAGGATAGGTGATATTTATTTATTGGTACTTTTAGGTAGCTTCAAAATTATGATCAGGAAAAGAGATTAAAAAATTATCATTTGGGGGACCTGGGTGGCTCAGTGGTTGAGCGTCTGTCTGCCTTTGCCTCAGGTTGTGATCCTGGGGTCCTGGAATTGAGTCCCACATCAAGCTCCCTGCAGGGAGCCTGCTTCTCCCTCTGCCTGTGTCTCTGCCTCTCTCTGTGTGTCTCTCATGAATAAATAAATAAAATCATAAAAATCAGCATGTGGATATTGCTATGTAAGTTTATATTGTTCTAATACTCACTAAATGATTTCATTGAGGTATCAACATGTACATTACATGTATATATTGTCTTATTTATAAGGAGATAGACTATTTCCTTCAATCAAAAAATTTAGTTTTTCTAGAACTCTTTTAAGTACAGTATATTGATTTTTATATATATTTTCAAACCATTACTGCTCTTCTATTTTCTTTCAGTTCACAGTGGGAAAAGCTACAGAAAGATGACACAGATCCAGCACAACTGAAAGGTATCAAAGGAAGTATTGAGACAGTGAACAGAGACATTTCTTTAATTACTAATAATCAAGATACTGAAGTTAATACTAAAGATAGCATCAGTCAATAAATAATGTTACAGAAAAGAATTTACAAACTACGATGATACTTTAATTAATGATTTTGTCTTAAATGAAGCTCCAGTTTATGAGAGGAAATAATTTGAATACCAATTTTACATTTTCTAAATGTTGGATTATATCATGTAGAAATTAAGCAGTTTAATTTCTTTAAGTGCTTTTGTTCAGTTGGGTGACACAATTTTATCATATATGTATTTCTTGAGTTTTATGTTAACTCAGTTTAGGGGATGCATTTCTATTGGTTATATTTAAAACTGCTTTGTGCTTTTGTTTTCTTTAAAGAAGCTATTACTTTGGATTTATCCCAATAGAACAACTTTACTTAAAAAAAAATGAGCGAGTATCTAAAATACTCTTATTTTAAAAAGTAGATCACTGGCTAGTGATTGAAAGAAATAGTGTGAAATTAAGTGGTGTTGCAGTTCTTTTTACCTATTTTGGTTTCTAAGTGCCCTAGATGCTATATAAGTAATTTTCAATTGTGTGTTCTAGTAGAAAGAAATAGATGCTGGGCATTAGAAAATCTCAATAATTGGTCCCTAACTGTATGACCTTGAGCCCAACTCAGTGTCTGCATCTAAAATGAACAGAAAGGTGCCTAGGTGGCACAGTCACTTAAGTGTTTGACTCTTAGTTTCAGCTCAGGTTATGATCTCAGGGTCCTAGAATTGAGCCTCCCACATCAGACTCCATGCTTGAGATTCTCTCTCTCCCTTTCCCTCTACCTCTCACACTTGTGCTATTTCTCTCCCTCTCTAAAATAAATAGATCTTTTAAAAAATAAAATGAGAAGAATATCTAAGTTACTGTGAAGATTTAGAGATGCCTCGGTAATAAGGTGGCACCTCACAGTGTCTGACACATACTAGATATTCAGTAAACATCAGATTCCTAACTTTTCTGTAAACATCAGTGCTATTTGACTTTCTTTGTTTTTCTTATCCATTCAGTTATTTCCTTTGTATGGAGTACTGTAGGGACACACACACATACAAAACCATATTAGATGTGATTCCTTCAGTAAATAGTATAGCTTGGTAAGAAATAAAATTTACGTACAATTAACTGTTAATACAAGGTATAAAGTTACATGAGTCATAAGAGAAATTCACAAAGTAGAAATTCATAGGGATAGATTTTTCTATTTTGGTATGATAGAAAAGCAGCAGGGAAAGTTTAATGGAAAGTGTGGCTTTGAAGGGAAGAATGGGTAGGATTTAGGCTTCTGAATAGGAGAAGCTAAGCAAAAATAATAGAATGAACAAGCATATGATTGATAGTAATGTTTATCACCACTGCTGGTGCATTTTAATGGCACTTTAAACTCGGAGAGGAAGTGATTTTTACCAGAGAACACCATACAGAAGTCAAAAGATCAGTGAGAAAAGATAAGAGATACTTAAAATCTAATAGTAGTTTATTAAATGCCTTCATAAGGGACACCTGGGTGGATCAGTGGTTGAGCACCTACCTTCAGCTCAGAGTATGATCCCAGAATTCTGGGATTGAGTGCTGCATTGGGCTCCCTGCAGGGAGCCTGCTTCTCCTTCTGCCTTTGTCTCTGCCTCTCTCTCTGTGTCTCTTCATGAGTAAATAAATAAAATCTTTAAAAAAAAATGGCTTCATAAAAGATTTTTGTTACATAGGTCTCTCGGCATATACTCATGTGGAACTTCCATATTACTCTAAGTTTATTCTAATTGCTGCATACCTCGCTTCATACAATCCAGCAAGAACTGACAAGAGGTTCTTCCTTAAGGTAGTTATTAATTCTTTTTACTTTGTTTTCAAAGAGTCCAGGAGTGTTTTGAAGTTTCTAAACACCTCTAAGTTTTTCAGGGGCAGAGATTAGATTGCTAATATATACTTATTATATTTAGCACTTATTCTTTAAAGACTTTAAATTATGGTCACAGCCTAAATGGGGGAAAGTAGGTAGTTCCACAGAAGAGTTCAGATATACGTTAGGTAATAATTCTAGATTTAAAAAAATAAATAAGGTTTTGTGTAAAGTATGAGAGATGGGAATAATTTTAAGGATGGTAACTCCTTTATTGTTCTAGAGCTTCTATAGTAATAGTGCCATGCACTGCATACAGCATTATCCAGAGCATTCAGAAGCTTCTTCTGCATGTACATTAGTTGGAGAAATCCCACTTTGGAATTGTTTTCTTTTTGAAAAAAAAAATATGCAATTTGATTTATTATTAAATGTATTTGTAATAAATTTTTTATTTGTTGTTTTGCTTATGTCTTGCACTAGTCTTTAGTATAATGAAGGACCACATCTGTTTGTTTCTCTACAAATAAGTACCACGTGCTTAACTGAATATTCTCAATCTGTGTTTCGATGTGAATTGACAGTCTACCTTAAAGACAAATAAAAACCCATTTATCTTTGGAAGTTTTGTTTTTATAGAAACAAATATGTTGTCAATATAAGTTAATCTTTTAGGAAATACCAATATTTTATTTTAACACCTTCTTTACGTATGTAAAGAAGTAATCTTGTATACAATCAAAATCTTAAGTCAAAGCAGCCTAAAATATGTTGATATTTTAGGTATTAGTAAATAAAATAAGCCTAAGATACATAAATTAGTATTATATTTTTTAATTGTTTTAGATTATGTTTTAAATTAACAGTTTTTTTTTAACTGTTTTAAATTATATTTTCTGTTTTTGTGGACTCTTACCTTTTTTCCCCCATCTTAACAGTTATTTTCCTTAATTGCAGCATCATGGGAAAATTAAGAAAACGAACTTTCTAAAGAAACATGAAAAGGTATTTACATTTTAATTTTTCTGATGAGAAAAAGTCATGAATTCAGGATACTGTAGGAAGTGAATGAATGCATGCTTTTATTAGTCATTTGGATGTAAGAAGTTCTTTATTGGTAAGGTGCCATTATAATGTTCTATTAGTATTTGGTACAGTGATGAAAGCACATTCAAACGAGCTGGTAGTAGATATGAAAGTGAGTTGACAAGTTCTTTTAGTGAATTCATAGATGAAAAAGACTACCCTAGAATTTTTAACTAAACACAGCTGGTTTTCCTCTTTTACCCTTTGAAACCCCCACAAAAATGACACTGAAGAAATAAGAAAGATGAACATGGAGGGACTAAGAAATCTACACAACTTGGAACTGCATTGTAGGTAGATGCACAGATGACCAAGCAGCACCTAAGCCCAAAAGCAAGCAGATTTGACCTGAGGAATCTGGAACAGCTTAGAAATTAGGGGCCCTTAGAGTGTTTGTAGGCCAGGTATGGGGCCACACCAAAATTGGCTGAAGGGGAATTTGGACCATCCCTTTGGAAAGAGTGGATTTGTACAAGTCCCCAAGAAGGACAGTCTTGACAGAGGGAACCATGTGAACAAAGACTTCATGAAAATGTCTTTAGTTGTAAAGGGACTGTAGTTCTTTTGATGTGATTCTTACTGATTTGACTTACAGATTTGACTTTTGCCTCTTTTGTCTTTGGTTCATGTCGTTTTAAAATCTGAGCTTAACTGAAAGCTCCCTGTGTATACCTACTAGTTTGTATTTTTGTTCCTATCTTCCTGAAATCTTGATTGAATGCTTATTTTATGCCAGGGACTCTGCTGGATGCTATGGATAGAGTGGAGAACAGAATAGCCATTGTCTCTGCCTTCATGAGGCTCTCAATCTAATCAAGACTTTAAATATTAAAAGGAAACCACATGAATAATTATAGTAACAGTTGTTTTAAAAATACTGTGTATCTTCAATTTGTTTTTAAGATTTTATTTATTTATTTGACAGAGAGAGAACACAAGAAGGGGGAGCAACAGAAGTAGAGGGAGAAGCAGACTCCCTGCTGAATAGGGAGCCTGATGTGGGGCTCCATCCCAGGACCTTGGGATCATGACCTGAGCCAAAGGCAGATACTTAACCAACTGAGCCACCCAGGCACCCCTATATATCTTCAATTGTATAATTCTTTTTCTTTGAGTATCCTCAGCTGACACTGATTTTTTAAGAGTTTGCTTTTTAATTTGGCTAATGTATGCATGATACCAGATTACTTACCAGTCAGTTATGTAGAAAAGCAACAGTTTTTCCCCTCTCCTCACCATAGTCTCATTCCCCTCTTCTTTGAATTGTTTCTAGTTTTAGTTTTTCTAGTGTAAATATCTATAACTCTAAAGTTTCTGTCTCTATTTTTCTTGGTGTAACTTGACACCAAATTTGATGTCATTTAACTCAAGAATTTGATTTCCATTTTTGATTTTTTTTTAAGATTTTATTCATTTATTCATGAGAGAGAGGGAGAGAGAGAGGCAGAGACACAGAAAGAGGGAGAAGCAGGCTCCATGCAAGTTGCCCGACGTGGGACTTGATCCTGGGACTCGAGGATCATACCCTGCGCCGAAGGCAGGCGCCGAACTGCTGAGCCACCCAGGGATCCCCTGATTATTCTCTTTTGACAAGCCTTCATTCTCTTTAATAAGCTCTATAGTGGATTTAGTAGGTATTTCTCAGACTTTTTCATCTCCTCTAGGAGGGAATCCAATTTGCATGTATAGCATACAAAACCTATGGTAAATAGGAAAATAAATATCATATACCTTATATGCCACTAGAACACTTTAATTTTAAATTGGATATGTATTTTCTAATCGGAAAAATGTAAAAAGTGAAAAATTTTCCATTTCAAGCAAATGGATTTGGTGAGGAAATTTCCCCGCTAAACTCAGACCCTGTATGAAGGGAGGAAAAAAATCTTCACTGAGAATTTCAACTAGAAGCTAGGGCTTAACACTGATGTGGGGGGGCAGAATTCATAGTGTAGAGAGAGGGGGGAGAGAGAATCTCAAGCACACTCTGTGCTGAGTGCGGAGCCCAGCGAGGGACTTGGTCTCATGATCCTGACTTGAGCTGAAACCAAAAGTCAGATGCTCAGCTGACTATGCCTGCCAGGTACTGTGATGTTAACCACTGTTCTTAAACTCATGCAACTGACAAATGTTTGGTAACAAATGATGAGTATCTAGAATTTTTTTAAAGACTTCTTTAAACCAGTAAGAAGGTAAAAATACAATCAATAAGTGGGTAAATGATACAGAAAGGAACCTGAATGTCTAAAAAACCTGACATGATTATCAGCCTCATTCACTAGTGAGAGAAATTAATCTTTATTTTTATTTTTTTGAGAAATGAAACTTTACACAACAGCTGTTATTTTATGTTCTTGGATTGCAAAAGTAAAAAAAAAAAAAAAACATCTGATGATTTAAAATATTAGTGATAATGTAGAAGAGTAAGAGCCTGCATATTCTGTAGGTTGGTAGTAATGAAGTTAATATGTGAATGTATTTTGTATTGGTCACGATAGGCCAGACTATGCTGTAGCAAACAAACCCCCAAACCCTCAGTGGCTTAACATAACAAAGATTTATATGTTGCTCATGACACAATGGAGTGTGGGTTCGGTGGCCTTTTATAGTGATGCCAAGTGAAACATGGTGATTTCCAAAGTGGCCTCCAAAGGGCAAGAAGATTAATGGATTAAAAGGAGATTAAAGGTTTGAAAGGCCAAGCTTAGAAGTAGGGTGACATCACATTCACCCACAGTCCTCTATGGGCAGGAGATACTAGTCTTTCCTGCGCCCTAGACGAAAGTGTTGCTTAACACACAGCATTATCTCTGCCTTCTGCTTTAATTTCTCAGTCCCGCTTAGAGAAACTCACCCATGTGCTGAAGGGAAAGTGTACAGGATTGTCCGTCACAGGTTTATTTTTGATGAGTTATAGTGATGAATTTTTAGGAGTAGATAGTGATTTGTCATAAAATGGAATTCCATAGGGTTTAAAAGTGGGACTTAGAAGTGCATGTATCAATATGGATAAATCTCAAAAACCTATTGAAGGATAAAAAGCAACATGATTGAGTGGTATGTCCAAAATAATATCATTTATATGAGGTTAGATCTTGCAAACAGTGCTATTATATTGTCTATGAATACATATGTAGTAGCAATATAAAAACTGTCATGAAAGTGGTAAAAACATCAAATTCCAGATAGTGGTTCCCTCTAGGGAGAAAATGGGATGTGAGAGGAGTGTAACGAAGCTTCAAATCTGTAATGTGATCTAATGTTTTCTTTGCACATATTGCATAATGTTAGGAATTGATAAAAGTGGGTGCTGGGCCCACTGTTATTTATTATATCAGCCTCTGTACTTCTCTAAATGTTTGAAGTATTTAATGAGAAAGGATCTAAAATTTAAGACCTGGAAAATGATTTCTAAACTATTTTTTAGATATAAATAGCTAAAGTAAATACATATTTCATTTTGTAATTATGTGTATTTTTCTTTACAGTCATTCTTAAATAATTTTTCTCATGCATGTAATATAGATTCCCATTTATTTGCCATCGCTAATAGAGTACTTACATTCTAACAGTACTACTAAAATTATAGAGTGGATCTTGAGCACTTCAGTTTTCTGATGACAAGGAATTGTACCATATGGTTTTGTACACAAGTGTTTAAATTTTACATTGTTTCAGGCTGATATTCACAAACTATCAAATCTTTTATTAGTTTTCTGAGCTGGTATTTACTATAACTGATCTTTTTAGAACTATTAATGTTGAACAAATGTATTTTCCTGGTGATGGTACAAAAAAGAATGAATAGATGTAAGCAGTAAGTTCTCGTTGAGTTAGTACCTGGACCCTGGTTTTGGTTATGCACCATTTTGACAAATGACTTGCCTTATTAACTCACCATCTGGTTGCAAAAACAAAATAGGTGTGATATTCAGGATTAGGAATGGATCACTGTGAGTTGTTCTCTTTAATATCTGTTTATGCTAAGTCAGAAAATCTTGAAGAAAATGTTGAAAGATAAGTCATGATCATACCAGCGAAGGTTTTAACGTAGGGAATGGAAGTTAGAATTGGTAGGATCTTTGAGGAACACTACATATATTGTTACTGGGAATTTGGTACAGAAAGCGAGTGCCCTGATATAAGAAGAAAACCATGTTCTTTTTGTTACAGACAAGCAATCATCTTCTTGGACCAAAACCATTTCCACTAGACAGATTATTAGCAATATTATATAGTATCGTGGACAGCAGAGTTGCTCCAACAGCAAATATCTTTTCCCAGGTAAGCTTAATGATAGGTTATCACTTGTCCCCTCTGTCTTTATGGAATTCTTAAGGTAGCATAGTTGGTATAGTTCCAGGCATTTAGATATTCAGTCAGCAAATGTTACTGCTTGAACTAAGTAATGAATAGTGTTCTTGGTAAGTACTTGAAAGTTCTAAATATATAGAATCTTTGAGGCTATCCCTGAATTTGCTTCTATTTACAGGTATAACTTGATGACAAAACCAACTTGATGTTTCTGGGTGTTTTCTTTTTTCAGTAAAGGAATTTTTAAATTGTTAGAATTTTCTTGCTGATTAAATAAATGGCTTTGTGATTAAATTGATGAATTATAATGTGGAAATATATAATGAACACAAAATTTTAAAAAATTTATTTGTAAGAAAGTAATCTGTAATATCCTTATTCCTTGACAGTGTGATACAAAAGATTTTCCAGAATGATTAAGTTCTCAAAATTTTCACTAGATGGCAGCAGTAGCATATAAATATGAAATATGACTTTAAAAAAATAAAGTTGTTCAGTGTCTTTTTTTCAGTTGACATTTTAAGAAAAAACTATTTATTAAAAATATAGTCACAATAGAGATCTTAAATGGTCCAGAAAAACAGTTCTTAGCATATGATATGAATGACTGGAAGATAAAACAAATGATATAATATTAATGAAAAGCATCTTAGATTTTGCAATGAGTATTTTGTTCTATATATGTTTCTAGGTTGAGAAATATTAAATAATAACATTTGCATTTTAATTCACTGCAAATAAATTTAGTACCTGAATGGATGTTTGACTTGTAATCCAATGTATGGTGGTGACTTAATTTTTCACGTAAAGAAGACTTTGAGAACCAAACATAGATGTGTTCTCAACATTGAAGTTAGATAATTTTTTTATGTAAGTCAAAATTTCTAGAAAATTGTGTCTTCACGTATTGTATTCTTGAAGAAAGGTAGTCTGGTTGGTTGATTAGGTTATGTACATAACTAGCTTAGGTAGGTAGATTGGCAGCCCCTAATGGGGGTAACTTTAAAAATGTAATTGAGGGATCCCTGGGTGGCGCAGCGGTTTGGCGCCTGCCTTTGGCCCAGGGCGCGATCCTGGAGACCCGGGATCGAATCCCACATCGGGCTCCCAGTGCATGGAGCCTGCTTCTCCCTCTGCCTGTGTCTCTGCCTCTCTCTCTCTCTCTCTGTGACTATCATAAATAAATAAAAAAAAATTTTTTTAAAAAAATGTAATTGAGTTTTAATCTGTATTATAGTGATTTTTTTCCCCCATTTTTTAAAAAGCTTTGTCTGAAATTAGGTTTTAATAAAAACTTACACTGTTTATAACTTTCTGCGTATTGTTAGATGATTTTTTTTGTCTTGTTTTTGCTGTTGCAGTAACTATGAAACAGAAAGCAGGTATTATTAATCTTTATTAAAGGAATTGAGCTTTAGAGATTAAATCATATTCCCAATATGATGCAATGAGTATATCTTTGAGAACCAAAGTCTAGAGAAATGAAGTAGGCAGTTATTCTTAACAGGAAAGGAGGGACACCTGGGTGGCTCAGTGGTTGAGCATCTGCCTTTGGCTCAAATCGTGATCCTGGGGGTACCGGGATTGAGGGCATGGAGCTGCTTCTCCCTCTGCTTGTGTCTCTGCCCCCCCCCTCTGTTTCTGTGTGGCTCTCATGAATAAATAAATAAAATCCTAAAAAAAAAAAAAAAAAACAGGAAAGGGAGGCGTTTACATCACATATGATTGTACTTCTCAAGTGCCCAAAAATTACCTTTGTGGGAGACAGAAGGATAAGATAGTGGTTTATTCTGAAGGGATAAAACATGTACATTAAAATAATGGTGTAGGGCTGTAAAATGGATGTTGGATAGTGCTGCTGAGAATTTTAGAGTAGACAGATCGCTTCTGGACTGGGCAGGGTGAAACAGATTCACAGAAAAGGTGAAAAATGGAGCTGGGCTGTGGAGGATGAGCAGGATTTTTGTTTTTTTAAGTATTTCTAGTTGACGTGATACCCGTCATTTTTATTTTTATTTATTTTATTTATTTGGTACATTTTTGTACCAAAAAAACCACAAAAGGGTAAATGAAAAAGTAATAAAGTTGACACCTTCCTTCCCATGGATAGAGTTCAGTTAGCCTAGAGATTTAAGAAGGGGAGATGAGGGGATCCCTGGGTGGCTCAGTGGTTTAGCACCTGCCTTTGGCCTGGGGCGTGGTCCTCGAGTCCTGAGATCGAGTACTGCGTCTGGCTCCCTACATGGAGCCTGCTTCTCCCTCTGCCTGTGTCTCTGCCTCTCTCTCTCTCTCTCTCTCTCTTTCTCTCTCTCTGTCTCTCATGAATAAATAAAATATTTTTTTAAAAAAGAAGAGATGATATGAGCAATGGGTTGGGAGTAGGAAAAAGCAAGGTATATTTGTGAACTATTGCACTGATTTTGTTGAGAGTGGATGGGATGTATTGTTAACTAGTGGTAGCAGTCCTTGTCACTGTGGTCCAGTAGTAGAAGTACTGCTACCACCGCACATCATGCCTTGCTGTTGATGCCTTACATATCGTTCCTTACATGTGTAGAACACTTTGCATTTTATAGTCTTGCCATGTATTAAGTTAATCTTCAAAAAGGAGAAGGAACTGAAGCTCAGATTGCCTACAAGATCTACCCAAGGCCACACAGCAAATCATCGGCAGGATCTGGACCTGGATGCTGATTTTCCCAGCAGCAGGCCTGGGCTTATAGGGATAGACAATCAAAACCAATAAGAGGTTACTGACTTGGAGATTTACTAGTTACTCTGAGGCTTTTATTAGAGAAGAACAGTATCACCAGTCTTTAGGCTTTCAACAGTGTCTGTAATGTAATTAAGCAACAGCTTGGCCTAAATATATCTTTATTTTTTAAATGAAGTTAAATTCTCTTTAAATGAAGTTAAGTTAACCTATAGAGAACCTTTTTGTTCTTTATTTCTTTAGTAGTAATCAAAATAATAATTTTGTGTGTTTAAAACATGACTTTAAATGAATTTAAAAGGATTTGATTTCAGTGATTCCCTTTTGGGATACAAAGGGTGAGGGAGTACAGAGGGATTAGATGCAACTAACCCTAAGAAGTTAACCTGTACTTTTGCTTGGTCAATAAAGTATCCAAGAAAATCAAGAAATATACATACAGTGTTTGAGAACAAAATGTGACTAAAGTCACATTCAGAAAAAGGGTATTTCTCCCACAGTTTTATTTTTTTCCCCTCCCATTGAGTCCCAGTGATCTTTTCTATTTTTATCATATCATTCAACCATCAAACTCTACTCTTGCCCGCAGGAATGACAATTTACTGGTGTTCACTTAATTTTTTAAGTCAAGTATGCCCTCGTCTGTATTGGCAGTGCTTATTTGATACGAACACTAGATGGCGATATGGCTGCACTCTAGCTTTAAGATGAACTAGGAAAGCAGCTGTACTCAACTTCATAGTCTTTCATGTTTAGAGAAAGCTGTTAATTGAACACATTGATTTATTTGAACAAAAATACAATTGCCTGAAGACGTTTGATGATATATGTGTGTATGTGTAATGTGCACACATATTTACACATTCATGAAAATGTAAATAAGGTTGGTAAAGAATTATGTTGCATGAGTATTTTCCACCTAGAAGTAAATTGCTTTCTATTGGCTATAATGTGTCTATGTGAGATGATAATATATTATTTTTCTAATCATTCTATATGCACCTGTTTTAAGATTTATTTCATAATAGTGTGCTGTTCTTATAGTTTGAATTATCAGTTTATAATTATTTTTACATATAATAAATTGTTCAAATGTATATATGTTCACAATTTTCTTGAAGTGAAATTTTATTTCCAGTGCATTACATTCAAATCTATTTGAATCTACTCTGTAAAAAAGTTACAAAAATAGTAGCTTAAGGAGTTTTTAAAGTTAAAATTCCAATTGAGAATAATAATCAAATTCATAATAGTATTAGTAGCAGTAGTATTGTATTGTAGTTGGTATTCTTAATTTGTTTTTATTTAATTTTAAATAAAATTTTATTCATTAATTTTTTAGTCTCATAAATCAGTAAAAGAATATTAGCATATTTAACATTTTATATAGATTGTAAAGATTATACAGATTAATGGTCAGAGTTATTGAATTGAAATATGGTTTTTACAGTTTTTCTGAGACTTTTAAGATAGTCATAGCCTTATCCAGTTTAGTATAATCTTGTAGTCAAGATCATGGATCATGGATCATTTTAAAATTGTCACTCACATAAAACAACGTAGCTCTTATATATGTATCTGAACTTTGTGAATGGCAATGCATTAATTCTGGTGTTTTCGTTCTTTTCTCCTGTCACTGTGGTTAGAATGGATGAACTATATGCCATTTAGATACAGGAAGTAGTAAAGTTTAGAGATATTACTTTCAAATTTTAATTTGACTAGATGTTACTGAAGACCATTTACCATCTTTAAAAGAAATACTACTGAATTGTCTTTTTTTCAGAAGTATGTCAAAGCCAGGTTATGCTTTTTTATTTTAACTTTTTTCCTAGAAAAAATGATAATTTGCTTGGAAATCTTTACATGATCTGTTTCATCCTTTTGATATTCTGTGTCTTACCCTTGCCTATCTCCTCTATAGTCTTGTAGTTAGGTGAAGATAGTAGGAATACAGTTCTTTAAGATCTTAGTCAGTGTATATTACTTATTTTAAAATGTTAAGCTATATTGCCTTATCTTTTCCCAGTGGATAAACTTGCTGAAGAGTTTATTTCTAAAATTATTGGCATAGGTTTCTAAAGGTGACTTTTAAGAGGAAAATTGTCTTTAAAAAATTAAGGACATTCAATTACAG